CCTCCCCCAGACTTCCCTCAGCTCCTTTCTCTGATTTCTCAACTTATGTTGTTCTCTGCATATTGTAAAATTGTATACATCCTTGTATTATCTATCTACTACATTAACCCTCACTAAATTTGTGTATGTTTATTCAAAACCTGCCAAGGAGTCCAATTCATTTTGTCGTCTTTTTAAGTACAGTCACACCTCGGGTTGAAGTTGCTTCAGGTTGAGCGCTTTCGGGTTGCGCTCCGCGGCGACCCGGAAGTAACGGAACACACGCGCAGACGCTCAAAATGACGTCACACGCATGCACGGAAGCGGCGAATCGCGACCCGCGCACGTGCAGACGCGGGTTGTGTGTACTTCAGGATGCGAACGGGGCTCCGGAACGGATCCTGTTCGTATCCAGAGGTACCACTGTAATTTATAAAAAGTTCCCGTTCTTCTTTACAAATTGCGAGAGAAGGACAACTGCGACTTTAAAGGAAACGAATTTCTGATTGGAAATGAATCCATATGCCTTCCCTGGAAAGTTTTGAAAGCAAGATTGTGTATAAGAGCCCTGACACCATCATGAGCACAAATAATCATGAATGCACAATGAAAAGCATGACGAGGAGTGCTCAGAGGAGGAAGGCTCAGAGCTGAGAGATTGGTGGTGGGACCCTGAGAAGACGTCAGAGGGAGAAGATTGGGTGGAGGGTCTGGATGTTGAAGGAATGACAGGGTTTTGTCAGAAGCCACCGCTGAATCATATCTTACAGGTGGCCCTCCATCTTCTGCTTAAAAACCTCCAAGGAAGGAGAGTTCACAACCACTTGAGGCTGTTCATTCCACTGTTGCACAGCTCTTACTGCCAGAAAGTTCTTCCTGAAGTTTAGTTAGAATCTCCTTTCTTATAACTTGAAGCCATTGGTTTGAGTCCTATTTTCCAGAGCTGGAGAAAACAATCTTGCTCCATCTTCCATGTGACAGCCCTTCGGATATTTGAAGATGGCTCTCATATCTCCTCTTTTCCAGGCTAAACATACTCAGCTTCCTCAACCATTCCCAATAAGGCTTGGCTTGCACAACCTTGGTCATGTCTTTGTCACCCTCCTCTGCAAACATTCCAGCTTGTCAATATGCTTCCTAAACTCTGGCGCCCAGAACTGGACACAATATTCCAGGTGTGGTCTGACCAGTTTTGAGGTCTGCACCCATGCAAATGATATTGAGTTGGAAGAGAATAAACAACAAAGATTGACACGGACAAGGGAGTTTCCATTCAAGGGCGCACAGTCATCTACCAGGAGCTAATTGCTGGTGGAATCTAGCTAGATAAAATGGCCTAAATTACTCATGTGGATTAGTTTCTATTGGTCTACTCTCAGCAGGAATAACATTGGCTAGAACCTTGTGGATGGGCAGTATGAAGGCATTTCCTGTTCCCCCTTCTTACAATCCCTTCTTTAAATCAGACCTTTTCTTTTTAAATCAGACCTTGGGCCTTTTCTTGATTTTTTAATTATTTTATTAAAAAATATTAACACCCCCCACTACACGTCTGGGTTTCCCCTGACATATTGTCAAAAGTCTGCCCAGATGCCATTTTCCGGCCAAATCCCCAATGTGTCTGGGAAAACCTGGACGTACAGCAGCCCTACTAGATAGCCCATCAAATAGGCCACCTTTAAATATAGGGTTCTCTTCTGTAAAGCAGGCCACACACTCATAACTAGTTTGGAGTGCATTAATTAATGGGCAGCACATGGAGATACAGTGGTGCCCCGCAAGACGAATGCCTCGCAAGACGGAAAACCCGCTAGACGAAAGGGTTTTCCGTTTTTGAGTTGCTTCGCAGGACGAATTTCCCTATGGGCTTGCTTCGCAAGACGAAAATGTCTTGCGAGTCTAGAGATTTTTTTTTCGCTCCCCCCCCCTTTATCTAATCTGCTAAGCCTTTAATAGCCTTTAATAGCCTTTTAGCAGCTAATCCCCTAAGCCTTTAAGCCTTTAATAGCCGCTAAACCGCTAATAGCGCTAATCCGTTAAGCCGCTAATAGGGTTGCTTCGCAAGACGAAAAAACCGCTAGACGAAGACTCTCGCGGAACGGATTAATTTCGTCTTGCGAGGCACCACTGTATTGATCATGACTTGTGGTATCGTGAAGCAAACACCTTATGTGTGCATTACAGTGACAAACTAAACATTCTCTAGAATTTTTTTTTAAAAAAAGCTTTATTATAGGGTTGTAACCAGTGTTAGATCTTTTCAGGGTAAATCTGTTGAAGTGAATGGACCTGACTGACTTGGATCCCTCAATTTCAATGCCTCTATTCTGGACAGATTGCATAACTTAGCTGGATGCATCCCATAATTTCTATATAAACAACATCATGCAACTTCATACTATCTCCACATTCCTTACAAATTTTGAGGGTTGTGTCTAGCGTTAGTCCAAGTGCATCCATTAAGAATAAATGGGCCCGACAAACTTAGGGCTATTCATTTGAATGGGTCTACCCACAGTATAATGTACTTGGATCCACCCCATAATATTCCCTGACATTCTCGGAATGCTGTAGTCGGAAGCAGTGTCCAGGCAGAAATCGGCAAAAATGTCCAGGAAAATTCAGATATATGGTAAGCTGATAATCCTTTAAAATAGCTCAAAAACGGGATTTCAATGGCTTTAGTCTGAGTAGCTTATTATGATTATTATTTTATCATTAATAATTATGATTTATGAATTGCATTTATATGATGCCTTTCTGCAACAGTGGTTTACACTCTTAAAGCACTGAAACCAATGATATAACTTGTAAAATTGGCCTGGTGGGTGGGTGGGAAGTATTGAACACAACCCTAATTACATTTTTTTTATTTAAAAAAAACCACACCTTTATTTTACCTTTTAATCTCTCCTAAAAATTACATTAAAAAAACAAAACAAAACACCTCTCTGTTATCTGGGTATTATCATAGTGAACTTGCAAGACCAGAGCTCTTTCTTGTTTTCTTTTTTAAAATAAATTTATTTGTTTGGCTTTTCAGATTGAAAGTTTAGTCACCTATGTAGAACATATAAAGTAAAAAACAAGGAATCTCTTGGACTTTCCTCCTCCCCAACTGTTAATCATTTCCTCCTGCATCTTTTATGACCATCCAAATCTTTTGCATCTCCGCTGTGTCCAAAATTCACCACTAAGCTACAAGAGATATTCCAATGTCCTGCTAGTGGTTTTAACTTTTTACAATGCTTTTGAAGATAGGTTATCAATTTCCCCCATTCCTTATTGAAATTTTTGGTCCCCCTGATTTCTGACACTTCATTTATTTATTTATTTATTTATTTATTTATTTATTTATTAAAATGATATTTATTAAAGTTTCACAAGAAAAGAATCACATTAATAAAAAAGAAAGATTTAACAATAAAAAGAAAAATACACAATACAAAATACAAAAAGAAAAAAGAAAAAACAGTTAAAAACAATTCCGTCTTTTCATCACTTCTTTTACATTTACTTGTTTCCCGGACCTCCTCATACCTCCCTCTTTTGTATTCCAATTCAGTTTGTTAGTCCAGCAATTTCTTTCCCTCCTTTTTAATCCCAATCTTTAATCTTAATATATTATAACATTAAATTTTTATCTATTAAAAACCAATTTTTCCATTCTTTAACCATTACTGCTAGAAACCGCTTAACTTCAATCCGTCATCATTCTAACATTCAATAATTTTACAATATTTCTGTAAATAGTCTTTAAATTTCTTCCAATCTTCTTCCACCGACTCTTCTCCCTGGTCACGGATTCTGCCAGTCATTTCTGCCAATTCCATATAGTCCATCATTTTCATCTGCCATTCCTCCAGTGTGGGTAGCTCTTGTGTCTCTGACACTTCCTTTAAGCCATTTAGGCATAAAATCCATCAATTTGATCCGCGTGGGCCTCTGGAACCAAGTCTTCCTCTCGTGGTCCGTCCCCTATTCATGCCCCCCAGCCTTGACTGGTCCGTCCTTTATTGGGCTCCCCCCTCTGCCTTTGCCACCTGCCTCCCTTCCAAAGAGCGCCAGGGCTGTGGCACAGAGGTTGTGGGAATGGCTATACGAGTGTACAGCTCGACTCTTGCTCAACTCAAACTGCAAGCAGGTGCAAAGACCGGATACTGAGGAAGAAGAAGAAGCCGAGAGGCTTCTTGCTCTCAAGATTAGCTCCAGCGGGCTCAGGATGGAAGATTTCGGTTGAATATCAAGGGGCGGAGGGTGTTTTCTTGGTGGCGGCGTACATTTAAAATGTTATGATGCCGTGTTCCCGTCCGTCCGTCCCCCAAGTATCCTGGGAGTTGTAGTTTCTTAAGGGTGCTGTGGACAGTTGTTAGGAGACACGCACAGGGCCGGATTGAGGTCTGATGAGGCCCTCAGCTACTGAATGTAACAGGGCCCTTTATATGTCCAGCTGTCCTTTGTCAACCACAAATTGCCGCTGTTTTTTGGGGTGAATATATGCTATGTGCGGGGCCCATAACTTACATCATGGGAGCCTACACAACACAAAACACTGTATGTTGGTTTTATTTTATTTTATTTGCTTTTTATCTTATACAGTGGTACCTCGGGTTAAGTACTTACCATATTTTTTGCTCTATAAGACTCATTTTCCCCCTCCTAAAAAGTAAGGGGAAATGTGTGTGCGTCTTATGGAGCGAATGCAGGCTGCGCAGCTATCCCAGAAGCTAGAACAGCAAGAGGGATTGCTGCTTTCACTGCGCAGCGATCCCTCTTGCTGTTCTGGCTTCTGAGATTCAGAATATTTTTTTCTTGTGTTCCTCCTCCAAAAATTAGCTGCGTCTTCTGGTCTGGTGCGTCTTATAGAGCGAAAATACGGTAATTGCTCCAGAGATCCGTACTTAACCCGATGTTCTTAACCTGAAGCACCACTTTAGCTAATGGGGCCTCCTGCTGCTGCTGCGCCGCCAGAGCACAATTTCTGTTCTCATCCTGAAGCAAAGTTCTTAACCTGAAGCACTATTTCTGGGTTAGCGGAGTCTGTAACCTGAAGCGTATGTAACCCGAGGTACCACTGTATTTTGGAAACATCCAGGTTTTTTCCTTTAAATTTTTTTTGGGGCCCCCAAGAGAGTGGGGCCCTAAGCTATAGCTTGTTTAGCTTATACGGAAATCAGGCACTGGGGACACACACCCTATTCCCCTCCTGGAATATGTTTAGGGGTACTCTCATTTTCCTACTCACATTGAAATACTGCTCCTCAAGGAGGCCAAACTTGGATTCACAAAATGTTTAGGGGTATGTGTACCCCTGCTTCTCCCCAGAAAAAAAGCACTGCCCCTATGATTGCATCCCTTAATTGTCAGTCTCTCACTAGAAGTAAATAATTTAAAGTAACTTCAATGGGTGGGATGTCTGTTTCAGTCCTGCCTTTTTAAAAAATGTGAGTAAGTTTGACATCTTTCTCTGTTTTTTAATGCTGGTTTTAATGTATGTGCTTTTTATTGCTGTAAGTTAATTTTAATAATAATTATAATATTTTTGATGTGGATATGCTGACTCTTTCCCTCTCCCTCTTCCAAAACCTACAGAGCAGTGTGGATGTCATGGCCCAGGTTATGCAACCCCCCTGGATGCTATGAGAGGTAAGTCTCAAACTGATTCCACCACCGGCCAGAAAAAATTGAGACCTTATTTCAAGCCACACGACAATCAGGTTTAGCAGTGCTCCCAAATCAAGATTGCTCAGGAGGAAGATTAAGGGATTAGGCACAAGCACAGAGGAGGTGTGGTTTATCAGTGGCTAATAATTATGGCAAAACTTCCAGGTAAAGGAGCAGGATACATTGAAAGACCAGTTGTTGAGGGTGTAAAGAGGCTGTGCTGTTCCGCTTGTGCCCTTCTTGTGGTCTTCCCAGGGACATCCAGTTAGCTGCAGTGGGAGGAAAGGTGTGGGGACTGCTCTGTTCCAGCAGGGTCAGTTTTTTATTTTATTATAAGAAAATTTACAAACCATCACTAGCTATAGCTATATAATAGTGGTGTACAATAAAGCAGGTGGCGCTGTGGGTTAAACCACAGAGCCTAGGACTTGCTGGATCAGAAGGTTGGCGGTTCGAATCCCGTGATGGGGTGAGCTCCCGCTGCTCAGTCCCTGCTCCTGCCAACCTAGCAGTTTGAAAGCACATCAAAGTGCAAGTAGATAAATAGGTACCGCTCAGGCGGGAAGGTAAATGGCGTTCGCTCTGGTTCGCCACATGCTGGCCACATGACCCGGAAGCTGGACGCCGGCTCCCTCGGCCAGTAAAGCGAGATGAGCGCCACAACCCCAGAGTCGGCCACGACTGGACCTAACGGTCAGGGATCCCTTTACCTTTACAATAAAAGCATCAAAGCTTCAGTAAAACTATAAAATGCAGAAGGATCTCATTCGTTCTCAGAAAATGCTTGGCAAAACAGGAACATTTTCAGCAGGTGACGAAATGTCAGGATTGTTGCCGCCTGTCTGATTTCAGTAGGAACAACATTCCAAATTGTGGGGGCCACCACACTAGAAGCCTTGGCTTGTGAAGAAACTTATGCCACATTTGCACTGTTTATTTAAAGTGCTGTGATACCGCTTTAGGCAGTCATGGTTTCCTGAAGAATCTTCAGAGCTGTACTTTGTTAAGAGTGCTGAGAGATGTTGAGAGGCCCCTGTTGCAGAGGTACAATTCTTAGAGTGGTTTAACAATCTGTGAATTGTAGCTCTGGGTGGGGCCTCTTAACATCTTTTCCAAGATCTCACACCTGCCCTGTGGAACTCCTCCCGTCAGATATCAAAGAGATAAGTAATGATATACAGTAATCTTCCATAGACATCTGAAGACAGCCTTGTTGCGGTTTTTTGTGCTGAATATATGCTATATGGTAATTTATGGGCCTAATAGGTATCTAAACCATTTGCACATAACAAAATATGTATTTTATCAAAGTAATTGTTGAACTGAAATACAATTACGCAGAAGTATATTAATAGTGAAAAAAATTTGGGGCCCCCAAAAGAGTGGGGCCCTAAGCTATAGCTTGTTTAGCTTATATATACTGTATTTTTTGCTCTATAAGACTCACTTTTTCCCTCCTAAAAGTAAGGTGAAATGTTTGTGCGCCTTATGGAGCGAATGCAGGCTGCGCAAGCTATCCCAGAAGCCAGAACAGCAAGAGGGATCGCTGCTTTCGCTGCGCAGCGATCCTTCTTGCTGTTCTGGCTTCTGAGATTCAGAATATTTTTTTTCTTGTTTTACTCCTCCAAAAACTAGGTGCGTCTTGTGGTCTGGTGCGTCTTATAGAGCGAAAAATACGGTAAATCCCGCACTGATCTGAAGGCAGCCCTGTATCGGGATGCTTTTAATATGTGCTGTTGTGTTGTGTTGTTGTGTTTCTGCAATATTATGTTGGAAGCCACCCAGAGTGGCTAGGGCAATCCAGTCAGATGGGTGGGGTACAAAAACAACTTGTTTTTGCTATCATAACAATGATGATGATGATGATCCATACTGAGCTACAACTCCCAGAATTCTTTGGGGGAGGGAAGCCATGACTGGTTCAAGTGCTATCATAACACTTAAAAATGTGGCGCAAATGTGGCATAAATAAATACATGAATACTGTCGGACAGTCAGGAGGGCGTCTTCAGATGATCACAATGATCTGGCTGGTGTATAAAGAATGAAAAATATCTCTTCAGGGAACCTGGTCCATTTTGGGATTTCTACACTAACTAACAGGGATGTGGGTGGCGCTGTGGGTTAAACCACAGAGCCTAGGACTTGCCGATCAGAAGGTCGGCAGTTTGTATCCCCGCAATGGGGTGAGCTCTCGTTGCTCAGTCCCAGCTCCTGCCAACCTAGCAGTTCGAAGTGCAAGTAGATAAATAGGTACTGCTCCAGCGGGAAGGTAAACGGCGTTTCCGTGCACTGCTCTGGTTTGCCAAAAGCGGCTTAGTCCTGCTGGCCACATGACCCGGAAGCTGTACGCCGGCTCCCTCGGCCAATAAAGCGAGATGAGCACCGCAACTCCAGAGTCGGCCATCACTGGACCTAATGGTCAGGGGTCCCTTTACCTTTTTACACTAACAAAACTTAGCTCGGTAATATACTAGTAGCCACTGCAAAGCTTTCAGTTTTGGAATAATACACTCACTGTGTGCTGGTACGCCCGGCACTTTTATCAAGATATGAGTGCCGGCACCTCATTTTTTTCACACACAAAAAAAGTACTGAATGCGCCGGTGCAGAACTGTTCCAGCCAAAAGTCAAGACATTCTGCATTAGCTGCAGTTTCCAAATCAACGTCAAGGGTGGCCCCACGTGGAGCGCATCGCGGTAGTCCAACCCAGTAGTTACCTAGGCCCGCATCATTATGGCCAGGTTATATGAATGCCGCTTCATTGTCTGCATTCAAATACCCTTTCTGAAATGTGTAAGAAACTGCACCCAGAGCGCTGGATTGACATCAAAGAGGCCTGAATTAAATTCCCCACTAAACACACATTAAACCACGCATCACCTGCCTTGATAAAGCAGTAGCAGGGACATTTACGCTGCCCTGAGGTCCTCGGATGAAGGGTGAAATAAGAATTAATAACCACACTCAAAGTCTTTCGAGTCTTCTATATTAACCTTCCACGCCTCTTAACAGCACCGCATATTACACTCAGCACAATAAAGAAAAGTTGTCCAAGCTGGCAGGTAACAAATTACTTTCAATTCATCAAAGCTTATTAAAATTTCCCTGGGCGCCTGAATTCAGAAAATGCAGAGTCACTGGGAATTGTGAATCAGAGGATGCTTCTAGGCGGCCTGTTGACTGAGCCTTCGTCTTAGGCTGTGGTGCGCACAATACTTTTAAAGCTCCTCCATAGCCCCTTCTCGCCCCTCAAGGAATTCTGGGCCCTGTAGTTCGTTGCTGGGAATTATAACTCTTGTGTGAGGTAAACTGCAGTTGAGGGAAAGAATGTGTTTTGAATGTGCAACAGAGGTAAAGCTTTGGTTTCCTCCTTGCAGGGAGACCTTAGACGACGGCGGCTATTTAAAGAGGCTTCACTCTGATTTCACTTCCAGTTTCCAGGCACTTCTTTGTCCCATAAAGTCTAATATTTTGTGGATGCAAGACCTTCCAACCATCTTTTAATTGTGCCACTTGCATTTGAGTTGGAGCCCAGTGACATCTGGAGGTCCACAAGTTCCACCTCCTGTCCCTAAAACAACTAAGCAGCTCTTTTAATCTTCCACTGAAATATTAAGAACATAAGGAGAGTCTGTGGAATCTGGCCAGTTGCGTATCCTGTTCTCATAGCGGCCGACCAGATCCCTCAAGCAGGATTTTCAGTTTTAGGCTTTGGTGTAAACATTCCAGCTTCCGTGTATTGGATCATGGCACACTAACAGAGGATTGGACAAACTTGTGGAGGATAAGGCTATCCATGGCTGTTAGTCAGGATGGCGATGTCATACTCACCAAATGTGCTGGGAAAAACGGGACATCCCATTTTCTCACATGAGATTGCGGCGGCCATTTGGGTGCCACAATCTTGTCCGGGGAAAAGCCGCTTCAGGTTGCGATTTTTCAGGTTACAGACCGCCGAAACCCGGAAGTACCGGAATGGGTTACTTCCGGGTTTCGGCGGTTGCGCATGCGCAGAAGTGCTAAATTGCTCTTTGCGCATGTGCAGAAGCGGTGAATTGCGACCCGTGCATGCGCAGGCGTGGGTTGCGAACGTGCATCCCACACGGATCACATTCGCAACCCGAGCGTCCACTGTAACCTTAAAGAAATCACATTCGGTATGTAATATTGGGACAGATTGTTGCCTGTCCTACAGGGATCGTTGCGATAAGGTGATATCGAAAGACTGTTAGGATGGTATTAGATACAGGTAAGCTTTGCCAAAAGATTTCCCTAAGCTTGGGCTGAGTAGCTCAGAGCTCGTCCCTTTCCTCACCCAAGACAGATCCCTAAATATGGACTTTCCCCCCCTGAAGGTCCACGAGAGAAGCTGATCTACGTCCCCTGCATCTTAACTGGGACTGGAACACAGCAGCCTGATTACCTTGCTACGGTGGATGTGGATCCGGAATCTCCCTGCTATTGCCAGGTATCACATTAGATCCGCCTTCTCTCGCCTGGTGCCCCTTCTGGCTGCTTCGGACTACAACTCCCATCGGCCCTAGCTAGCGCAGGTGGGGCTGATGGGAGCTGTAGTCCGAAGCAGCTGGAGAAGGCGTCCGACTTGGGAAAGCTGGCTTTAGGAATCTTTACCACACAGCCGAAAGCCTGTCTTTGGGGACTGTAGCCTCACGAAAGATTCACCTCCAAGAGTGGTTGAGAAAGATCCACACTTCTCAGGTTGGAAAGTAGCATGTAGGAAAGAAATTGTTTAGCAGCCAAACTATCTCTGGCATGGAAGACAGCCAGCATTCGAATTCAGAACCCACGGTCCAAAGTGGGTCGGGAAAGGCATTGAGACTCAATTCCGTTCCATGTAAACGCGGATTCTGACTCCTTTTGTGTATTGCCAGCAGCAATTAATTAATTACGCTTTCTGCCACCAGCTGATTTATAGCCTGGGAATCTTAGCGAGGTGACAGGTAACCTCGATTAGAATCGTCCGGAAAGACAACCCCCGGGGGGGAAGATGGAAGAAAGCTCAAACCTAAGGGGTGGAAGGAGACTTCAGAAGGCGTCGTGGAATGCCTTCGAGAACTGATGGGAACCTCAAAGATGGTCAGAGTTTCTAGGGAAGCATCTCTGCCTTAGAAGTCCTCTTACGGGTTCATTATTCGACACTCCTCATTCCCCGAAACCAAAGGACTCTGCAGAAACTGGCTGCCAAAAAGTTGAGAGGCGGAATCAGCAAAAGGCAGGTCTTCTTTGCACGGCGGAGATTCTGTCCTTAATCTTCTAGCATTCAGCTTTGTTGGATGAGTTCAATGCCCATTAAATTCTAGGGTTATGAGAGAAGGAGGAAAAAAAATTCTCCACCCACTTTCACCATTCCATACTTAATTTTATATGCATCTATCATGTCCCTTGGGACACGGGCGGCGCTGTGGGTTAAACCACAGAGCCTAGGGCTTGCCGATCAGAAGGTCGGCGGCGGTTCAAATCCCCGTGATGGGGTGAGCTCCCGTTGCTCGGTCCCTGCTCCTGCCAACCTAGCAGTTTGAAAGCACATCAAAGTGCAAGTAGATAAATAGGTACAGCTCCAGCGGGAAGGTAAACGGCGTTTCCGTGCGCTGCTCTGGTTTGCCAGAAGTGGCTTAGTCATGCTGGCCACATGACCCGGAAGCTGTACACCGGCTCCCTTGGCCAATAAAGCGAGATGAGCGCTGCAACCCCAGAGTCGGCCACGATTGGGCCTAATGGTCAGGGGTCCCTTTACCTTTACCTTTATCATGTCCCTTCTGTCTTGTGGGAAGGAGTTCCGGAGTTTAACTATGCACTGTCTGAAAAGGAGCTTTATATTGCCTCTACTGATCCCAACCTAATCTAGCAGGGCTCTCCTTACCTCCTTGGTTTGTTCGCTTTTTGAACAGCCATACCGAAACCTGGCTAGCTCCGTCTGTTAAAGCATGGTTCTGATAATGCCAAATTTGCAGGTCCAATCCCCGTATGGGACGGCTGCATATTCCTGCATTGCAGGGTCCCTTTGTACGTGCCCTGCGTTATTTCCACCCCCTCTCCCAGTTAAGAAATATCGGGAAGGCCTTTGCTGACAATCTCCAAGATACTTTTTGCTGGAAAGGCGAAGACGAAGCAACTTAATAAGACCTGAGAACAATTAACATTCATCAAATTAATAGAACAGTTTCTTCCAGATCGGGCAGAGCTGTGCACCTGCAGTTCATTTGCGTGAACTGCACCCCAGGGGCAAAATCGACCTTTTTTTCATATTGCTGGAATCACCACTTGAAGTGCTAAGTGATAACTTGTTCAGGTTCCTCAAATAAACACTCCCTTCAATGAAAGCACATGACGCTGGCATCACTTGTCTGGGAAATGTCACTAGCCCCGCAGCAACTAATTTGGGCCCATTAATTCCATCGTATACAAGCCCATATTTGCTAATGTGCATCTTCGCATTATTCATTGTGTAAGCACCTCGTGTATATTTTCTCTTTCAGTATTCATAGCCTAGTTGAAGCTCTCGTAAAAGAAAAAGGAAAACGTTTCCTGAAATATACTCGGAGTCGAGTGTGGATTTCATGCTCTTTATTCAGCTCATAGTAGTGAGGAGGAATGGAAGTTCCCCCAGAATGTCTGCTTTATATACATTATTTACACAATGGGCCCCACGTGATTGGCTGATTCTGGGATTCTCCTGTAGGCCAATCAGGTTGCAGATTCACTTCCACCTGGTGTTGGATTGGGTGGCTCCTGCGGACCAATCAGACTGCTGCATTCTGGATCCTATTGTTCTAGGACCAATCAGACTGCTGCATTCTGGATTCTATTGTTCTAGGACCAATCAGACTGCTGTATTTTGGATCCTATTCAACTCAGTACATAACATTTCTGTTTTTTAAAATAAAAAGAATAGAGTTGCCCATGTCAAAATACGCCCTTCGTCAGGAGAGGCAGGGGCCGGCCCGATTGTTAGGCAAAGTGAGCAAGCTGCCTCAGGCGGCAGCGAGGGCACAGCTATGCAATGAGCAAAGGATGGAAGACAAAAATGAATTCAGTTCACATTTCAAGGGAAACCTATTCAGTTTGCACTTTTGGAAATGAGACGCACATGGAAGCGCTTTGGGCAGAGGGGTGGACATCTGCCCCCCCCCCACCTCGCCCAGAAGTCTTACCTTACTCTCCCGTCTTCCCAATAGGTGATCCATCGCCTTCCCATGCTGTATATTGACGATGAGCTTCATCACACGGGGTGGAACGCCTGCAGCAGCTGCTTCGGAGACACCAGCAAGAAGCGTAACCGTCTGGTCCTGCCCAGCCTGGGGTCTTCCCGCATTTACATAGTGGATACGGGGACGGACCTGCGAGCCCCCAGGATGTTCAAAGTACGTCTTCCTTCCCTCAAAGGAGCAGGACTAGGATAGGCTTTGGTAGAGTGGGGGGAGGGTGGATGTAGCGGAAGGGTCCTGAAGTTACCATTCATTTATTTCATAATATCTAGGTGCATCTTGATTGTAAAAAGAATTTTAAAAAACCCACCTCCCAACTTGTTTCCTAAAAAGAAAAGGAAAAAAACACCGATGAAAAACAGTTAAAAACAAATATTTAAAACAGTGGTTCTCAAACTTTTCTCTCTAGGCCACACTTTCAGAAATTCGCTGGCAGCACAACAAATTTTTTATTGATAAGGAATACATTGGAAAATGAAAAGAAACAACTCTTGGCCATGCTTGATTTATAACGCAGAAGAACAAAACTGCTGTGTGTGTACATGGAACTTCGAGAAAGTATAAAACAGCACAGCAGTCACCTAAGAACATTTGAATCATTCCCAAAATGTAACACTGATTGCCCTTGAATATTCCTGCCACACCTACCATCCTCTCCTGCCGCACCAGCGTGGCATGCCCTTCGAGAACCACTGATTTAAAACATTTTCTTCTTAAAAATTACATTCAATGCTAAGCTTAAAACCAAGTGAAGACACAGGTCAACATCCTGTGTATCTGGGGGGGGGGGATGTTCTTAGCAGGCGTCAAAGAGGGCAGCGAAAGCCCCTCTCTGACATCCACATAAACCGGGACCACATAACACCAGTCCTGAGAGATCTGCATTGGCTCCCAGTACGTTTCCGAGCACAATTCAAAGTGTTGGTGCTGACCTTGAAAGCCCTAAACGGCCTCAAAGGTCCAGTATACCTGAAGGAGCGTCTCCACCCCCATCGTTCTGCCCAGACACTGAGATCCAGCACCGAGGGCCTTCTGGCGGTTCCCTCATTGCGAGAAGTGAGGTTACAGGGAACCAGACAGAGGGCCTTCTCGGTGGTGGCGCCCACCCTGTGGAACACCCTTCAGATGTGAAGGAAATAAGTAGCTATCCTATCTTTAAAAGACATCTGAAGGCAGCCCTGTTTAGGGAAGTTTTTAATATTTAATGCTGTATTGTTTTTAACACTTGATTGGAAGCCGCCCAGAGTGGCTGGGGAAACGCAGCCAGATGGGCAGGGTAAAAATAATAAATTATTATTATTATTATTATTATTATTATTATTATCCGTAGGGAGTTCCAAAGTGTGGGTGCTGCCATATTAATGGCATTCGCGATATGTGTTGAAATGTCCTGAGGATGGCAGTGGCAGGTTTAGAACATAGGGATGGTGAATGCTGGGGTGGAAGCCAGATGTGGCCCTCCAGACCTCTCTGTCTGGCCTTCGGGACTCTCTCCAGGCGACGCCCCTCCTAAGCCACGCCCCTTCTTCTCAGGCCACACTTCTAACTCGCTCACCTTTGCGTCCTCCTTGAGTTTTTGCCTGGCTGGGATGGATCCCTGGACTCTGATGAGGCGTCGAATCACAGAATCTTAGAACTGTCGGGAGGGACCCTGAGGGTCATCTAGCCTGACCCCCTGAAATGCAGAAATATTTCGCCTCAACGTGGGATTCAAACCCATGACCCTGAAATTAAAAGTCTCGCCAGCTGAGCTCCTTGCTTGCCTGGATGGAGAATGGCAAAGTATCAGACTTTTTCCGGGCAACCCTCCCGTGGGCAGCGTGCCAGCGGTGGGCGGGGGTCAGAGGCAAAAGTGGGAGGAGCAACAGATGCAAATTATACCTATGTAAAGTAGGTTGATTCCTGCACACGCCCCTCTGTCCTCCATTCAGGCTTGGTCAGGGTTCAAGCACACATTGCAGTCAGGTGAAAGCATTCAAGAAGGATGTGGGGCAGGGTCAGTAGGGGTTCTGGCCTGGGGAGACTTTCGAGGGCCAATTTGTGGGGATGTTCAGGGAGACAGGAGAGGATATATTGTTTATTAATATCCTTCCTAGCTAGCAAGTTCTATAACTTAGCAGAGGTTTACATTCCCCTTTTAAACGCAGAGCAGATAGCTGGTTGCAGGCTTGTTTAAGCCTCTCAGTATTAGGTTCCGGGTAAGTTCCCTTATATCCCCTTTCCCTCCCCCATTCCTTTTTATGAAGATTGCCCGCTCTGGGATCCCACAGCTAACTCTCCCCTGACCTCCTTGCTGGCCCAAATAGAACTAATTTAGCCAGCTAGTCCTGGTGATCATCTAATGTTTATCAGATGGATTTCCCCCCCTAAATTGATTTTTGAATTCTGAATTTATTGTTATTTACGTTTTGTACGGTATTTTATGCTGTTTTTTGTTGCATCAATTAAGTGTTTTAAATTTGTTGTTAGCCGCCCTGAGCCTGGTTTTCTGAACCGGGAAGGGCGGGGTATAAATAAAAAAATATTTATTTATTTAAAAGAATAAACACGCCACAATCTTGTGTAAAGTATAAGAAGTTTACTCACATCACCAGTTCACAGTTGGATCCCTGAAGGCAGACTTAGTTACAAATATGTACATATGGATCTACACCATATAGGGGGTTAATCACTGCAGTTCACACGACAAAAGGAAGATGGAGAAGAAGGGAGGGGGGCTGCGTGCCCATGTGCTTTTGTTACCTGCACAGGTAAGGTCATGCCCACCTCTGGTCACATGCAAGAGGAAGGATGCTCCAGCTCAGGAGGAAACAGGAAGTTTTCGACCGGCTGGAACAAGCATCCCCTTTGCATGTCCACTCTAGGAAAACAAGGAATGTTGTACAGTGGTGCTTCGCAAGACGAAATTAATTCGTTCTGCGAGTTTTTCAGTCTTGCGAATTTTTGTCTTGCGAAGCACGGTTTCCCAAAGTCTTCAAAATCACCAAAGTCTTCAAAAACCTCAAAAAAGGCTACCACACCGCGTGCTATGAGTTGCTCCTCAAAGTCACCCTGGGTATTAACGGTTTTAAGAAAAAGGAAACAAACGTGCAAGACATTTTCGTTTTTCGTCTTGCGAAGCAAGCCCATAGGGAAATTCGTCTTGCGAAGCAACTCAAAAAACGAAAAACTCTTTCGTCTTGCGAGTTTTTCGTCTTGCGAGGCATTTGTCTTGCGAGGTACCGCTGTACTTGACTGCTACTTATGTATCACATCCCACAGAAAAAGAGGGCCACATTATTCTCCTGAGGTTCCCACCCCTGAACAATCCAGTCATTACGCCCCACGTCAAAGAGTCTAACCAATGAATAAAATGGAAATGAGGACTTAAGACAGGACCGCTTTTAATGAGTCCAAACGAGGGGAACAAGAAACCACCCTTGTGATTTGGTTGCTGATGAGAAGAGGAGTAGAAATTAGGGAAGGCGTATAGGTAATATATTGCTGACCCAGAAAAACACCTTTGGCTCACTCCATTATTGGCTGGAGTAAAAAAAGTTTGTTGCGTTGCAGAAGCTGAGAATAGGCTTCGTCGGAGAAGAATGATTCATAAGTCATACAAAAGCAATTACGCCCGGAAACTGTAATTAGAGTAGATGATATTGAGCCACGATCAGCAGAGGCGGGTCTCCTCCCATCAAAAGTGTTGGCTTTGGCGGGGGATGTTTAAAATGTTTTCAGAGGATGCAGTCAAGATCGTGAGAGCAGAAATAGATTGGGCATTATAGGTAAACATGCCCAGGAAGGGGTAAATTGATATGGTTTTGCTGGTGAAATAGACCAGGAAAACAGAACAGACATAAAGCCGATGAACGTGTCAAAAAAGAACAGATTTGAGTTCCTCCACCTCTTAACTATGACTTAAAATTCAAATGAATGTATTAGAAACAAGACTTTATATTGCAGTTTTTATACATATACATGTTGTTGTTTAGTCGTTTAGTCATGTCCGACTCTTTGTGACCCCCTGGACCAGAGCACGCCAGGCACCCCTGTCTTCCACTGCCTCCCGCAGTTTGGTTAAACTCATGTTAGTAGCTTCGAGAACACTGTCCCACCATCTCGTCCTCCGTCGTCCCCTTCTCCTTCTGCCCTTCATCTGTCCCAACATCAGGGTCTTTTCCAGGGAGTCTTCTCTTCTCCTGAGGTGGCCAAAGTCTTGGAGCCTCAGCTTCAGGATCTGTCCTTCCAGTGAGCACTCAGGGCTGGTTTCCTTCAGAATGGAGAGGTTTGATCTTCTTGCAGTCCATGGGACTCTCAAGAGTCTCCTCCAGTACTATAATTCTTGCTTAATTACTTGCTTTAGATATATGGTGAGTTTCTCTGTCATTTCAATTCTTGAGGTTGCGTGCTTGACCTGTTCAGAGTAGACCAATTGAAATTGCAAGACACTTAATTTAAGTACATTAATTTCTGATTAGAATTTAGAGACAGACTTTGTACTCAATTTACTTCCCATTTGCATACATACATACATACATATACACATACACATATGTATGTGTATATGTATGTATGTATGCAAATAGGAAGTATATTGAGTACAAAGTCTGTCTCTAAATTCTAATCTACAAAATTAATGTACTTAAATTAGCTGTCTTGCAATTTCAGTTGGTCTACTCTGAACAGGTCAAGCACGCAACCTCAAGAATTGAAATAACAGAGAAACTCACCATATATCTAAAGCAAGTGACTTCCTTTAAGAATCCTGGGAACTGTTGATTACCCCTCATGATGCTACAATTCCCAGCATCCATAACAAACTACGGCCCCCAGGGTTCTTTGGGAGAAGTCATGTGATATAAGTGTGTGGTGTCCACACAACTAAAGTAGCGAAAGAAGAAAGATCTAGAAGAGAAATGAGACAGGTTTTATAAGGAGCAAAGAACCATCAACAGGAGAATAAGTTCCTCTGAGAAAAAACGTATCTTTATAGAACATGGATCAATTAAGAACTGGTGAGTTCAGCAAAACTCACATGATCCACTGAGGAAGATCATTTTAATCACATTACAGCCCTCACTGGTGACGGCCTTTGGAGTTTGATCTGTGGGTGTGCTGAATCCTGGATTTTAAGAAAAAAGTGCTTTTGTGTAAAGAACAGGAAGAATAATCACACCAGAAACTTAATTCTCTCCCTGACTCTCCTCGCAGGTTATTGAGCCCAGGGAAGTCTTTGAGAAGTGCAACTTGACTTTCCCACACACCTCCCACTGCCTGGGCAGCGGAGAGGTGATGATCAGCGCTTTGGCCGACACGCTTGGCAACGGGAAAGGTATGGCCAGCTGTGTTTGTGTGTCACTTGGGACTTAAAGGGCGTGGGAGGCAGAGACCCATGGTGCAAAATGTATATGCAGTTGGCATATGCTACTATAGTCGTACCTTGGCTGTCGAAGTTAATCCGTTCTGGAAGTCCCTTCGACCCAAAACCGTTTGAAAACCAAGACACAGCTTTCCGATTGGCTGCAGAAGCTTCTTGCACTCAAAGCCGCTTCGGACGTTCAGTTTCCACAAAACGTTCGCAAACCGAAACACTCACTTCCAGGTTTGCGGCATTCAGGAGCCAAAACGTCCAGGTATCAAGGTGTTTGAGAACCAAGGTACGCCTGTATATGTTTATAGATGCCTTTGGGCAAATATTTAGATTGTGAGTGGCTGGGGCCTCCCCAGCACTGCATTCTGCACCCAGAGACCCTGTAAGAATAGTATAGAAACATGAGGATAGCCCTGCCGCTGGATCAGGCCAAAGCAGGGCTCATCCAGTCTAGCATTCTCTTCTCACAGTGGCCAGGGCTGGATTAACCATTCAACGAAATAAGGGCATCGAGGGGAGAGGAGAACCACAGAAATTTTCCATTACCGGATTGACTATGGACCGTATTGTGAATCAGGTTCCACAAAAAAACCTCCCACAATCAGAGAAAAAATTACATACACACACACATATAATATTAATTTTTTATTTTATGGTTTATATTTTGAATTAGAGATATATATGGAGGCACCAAAGTCTTTAAGTGTTTGGGGCCTCTAACAGTCTTAATGCAGCCCTCCCAGAGATACCCCAGTGGAAAACCCAAAAGCAGGAGCTGAGCACGAGAACCCTCTCTCCACCTGTGATTCCCAGCACTGGATCCGATGGGATCCCTTTGGCTTGACCCAGCAGGTCTTTCCTGATGTTAACTCCCATCGCCCCCCAGCCACCATTGCCAATGATCAGGAAGGATGATGGGAATTGAAATCTAGCCATATCTGGAGGGCCACAGACTCCCCAGTGTGGGATACCCACAGTACATCCTGGATTAGAGTGGTACCTCCGGTTAAGAACTTAATTCGTTCCGGAGGTCCGTTCTTAACCTGAAGCACCACTTTAGCTAATGGGGCCTCCTGCTGCCGGAGCACGATTTCTGTTCTCATCTTGAAGCAAAGTTCTTAGCCCGAGGTAATATTTCTGGGTTAGCGGAGTCTGTAACCTGAAACGTCTGTAACCAGAGGTACCACTGTATTTAAACTAAAAGCCTAAAACCAGCCTATATAAGCTCCCCTTTTAAGCTGCAAAGGGATGCGCTCTGCTGAACAACAGACATGAGGGAGGAAGGATAATAATAGCTAGACTGGAGACTGGGAGTGGCTGCTGAGATCATATAACCCCCGTCCTGAAAGATCTTCATTGGCTCCCAGTACGTTTCCGAGCACAATTCAAAGAGTTGGTGCTGACCTTTAAAGTCCTAAACAGCCTCAGTCCAGTATACCTGAAGGAATGTCTCCACCCCCATCGTTCTGTCCGGACACTGAGGTCCAGCTCTGAGGGCCTTCTGGCAGTTCTCTCACTGCGAGAAGTGAGGTTACAGGGAACCAGGCAGAGGGCCTTCTTGGTGGTGGCACCCGCCCTGTGGAACACCCTCCCATCAGATGTCAAGGAAATAAACAACTATCTGACTTTTAGAAGACATCTGAAGGCAGCCCTGTTTAGGGAAGTTTTCAATGTTTGATGTTTTATTGTGTTTTTAGTATTCTGTTGGGAGCTGCCCAGAGTGGCTGCAGAAACCCAGCCAGATGGATGGGGTATAAATATATCATTATCATATTTATTAATATTGAATAAATATATGGTCTCCTGGCAACTATTCACATCCTTGCACCCTACCCCAGTCTCCACACACACACACAAATGTGTGCCTCCCCATGCCTGTTTGAATTAATTTGCACCCCCGCTACCCTCAATGACCTCAACCCAAATCACTTCTCTCCATAAATAAGTCGCTTTCTGAGAACAGTTGTTGTTCTTGTGACTGCAGGCGGATTCATCCTTATTGACGCGGAGACCTGGGAAGTGAAAGGGACCTGGGAGCGGCCTGGAGACGAGCCCCCACAAGGCTACGACTTCTGGTATCAGCCCAGGCACAATGTCATGATCAGCACCGAGTGGGGAGTGCCCAAGTACTTTGCGAACGGTTTCAACCCAGAGGATCTGAAGAAAGGTACATCCTTCGTTTGAGACGGGGGTGGGTGGGAACACCTGCCATTGAGGCGGTCGATTTCAGGGCCGCCTTCAGATCCCAGTGGTTTGTGGAGTCAGAAAGCAGAGAAGGGGGCTTTATTCCTGTCCTAGTGTGTCACGAACTCCCGGCTGGGGACGTCGGGACCGGGGGCAAGATGGCGGGGTGGGAGCAGGAATGGGAGTCCAGAAGCCAGGAATCTGAGGTTTCAGAGAGCCAGGAATCAAGAAGCCGAGGGTCCGAGGGTCAGGAAGCAAGGAGTCACGAAATCAGGGGTCCGAGGGTCAGGAAGCAAGGAGTCACGAAGTCAAGGGTCCGAGGATCAAGAAGCCAGGAGTCAAGGAGCCAAACGCAGCAAGGCAAGGAACGTGTTGCTGTGGCAAAGAGCCGAAGGGAAATGCTGCCCTTATATCCCTTCCCGGCTCTTGCCACCAGGTGCTGTGAGTTACCAAGCAGCCTCACCTGTGCAGCCGCGCCTTGCCTCTTCAGAACAAACTTCGGAAGGCCCCAGTCCTGCAGAGTCCTATGGGTCACAGGGCCCGGCTCCTGCACACACACCTGACATAGTGGCACCTAGACTGGTGATGGGAACCACGACCCATGACACTCGTGTGGACTGGTTGAACCCAGAGGACTGATGGGGGGAACCAGCTGGGGAACCCCCAAGGGAAGAAGGCTCAGAGCCCAGGGGGGTGGAACAACGTTGGGTGGTCAGAAGGAGAAGAGGGAGAAGACAGGAAAGAGCAAGTGTCAGAAGCTGAAGAGGTAACAGGAGGGAAGTCTAGAATCAGGAGAGGAGGGGGGCGAAGAGGCAGAGACGAATCAGACCAGTGAATTGTCATGGGGGTCCCCCTTTCTTGTTGCAACAAGTCCCACTCCTCCCTGGTCTCCCAGTACCAGAAGAGGCATGAAAAGAGCAGAGGTGAAGTTAGCTTCGCAGGGGCATCGTCTCTGATTGCTTGGGAAAAGCCCTGGAGGGGAGTAGAATTAGACGGCTGGGGGGAGGCAGGGACCTTCAGTCTCTGTACCTGCTTCCCAGGGGCAAGACCTACCAGAGATGAGTTAGCCCTGAGATTCCTTCGCAGATTGTGTTTTTGCTATTAGAGAGTTAACTCCAACTTGCACAGTGTGATTTACTACTGGCTGACACTCAGGGTTTGTTGTTGTTGTTGTTTAGTCTTTTAGTCGTGTCTGACTCTTCGTGACCCCCTGGACCAGAGCACGCCAGGCCCTCCTGTCTTCCACTGCCTCCCGCATCTTGGTCAAACTCATGCTGGTAGCTTCGAGAACACTGTCCCGCCATCTCGTCCTCTGTCGTCTCCTTCTCCTTGTGCCCTCCATCTTTCCCAACATCAGGGTCTTTTCCAGGGAGTCTTCTCTTCTCATGAGGTGGCCAAAGTCTTGGAGCCTCAGCTTCAGGATCTGTCCTTCTAGTGAGCACTCAGGGCTGATTTCCTTCAGAACGGATCGGTCTGATCTTCTTGCAGTCCGTGGGACTCTCAAGAGTCTCCTCCAGCACCAGAATTCAAAAGACACTCAGGGTTAAAAAAAACCAAGTAGCCTGTTTCCTTGGGTGTTGCAGGATCGCGACCAGGGTCCCTCTGTGGTTGATGTTGTCCTTGTTTTGCTCCTCTGCAGAGCGCTACGGGCGTCGGCTGAACGTCTGGGACTGGACAACTCACTGCCTGATCCAGCAGATTGACGTTGGGGAAGATTCTGCTCCGCTGGAGATCCGGTTCCTACATAACCCCGACGCCGCACATGGAATGGTGGGCTGCACATTGCAGAGTTCCATCCATCATTTCTTCAAGACAGAGGTTAGAATGAATGGGGGCAAGGGGAGCCCACAGGAGGTTTGGGGCCCAGTAAGGGACGCGGGTGGCGCTGTGGGTTAAACCACAGAGCCTAGGACTTGCCGATCAGAAGGTCGGCGGTTTGAATCCCCACGACAGGGTGAGCTCCCGTTGCTCGGTCCCTGCTCCTGCCCACCGAGCAGTTCGAAAGCACGTCAAAGTGCAAGTAGATCAATAGGTACTGCTCCAGCGGGAAGGTAAACGGCGTTTTCGTGTGCTGCTCTGATTTCGCCAGAAGCGGCTTAGTCATGCTGGCCACATGACCCGGAAGCTGTACGCCAGCTCCCTCGGCCAGTAAAGTGAGATGAGCGCTGCAACCCCAGAGTCGGCCACGACTGGGCCTAATGGTCAGGGGTCCCTTTACCTTTTTAAGCAGGTGGTGGATTGGGCCCTCCGACTCACTTGGGAATAAGGACGCAGATTTGCATAAAATCTGGGCATACCATTTGGGGAAGGGATTCTGCATCCTCTACCTGCACTTCTCCTGTAGCAGTACAGTGGTACCTTGGGTTAAGTACTTAATTTGTTCCGGAGGTCCGTACTTAACCTGAAACTGTTCTTAACCTGAAGCACCACTTTAGCTAATGGGGGCCTCCTGCTGCTGCCGCGCTGCCGGAGCACGGTTTCTGTTCTCATCCTGAAGCAAAGTTCTTAACCTGAAGCACTATTTCTGGGTTAGCGGAGTCTGTAACCTGAAGTGTATGTAACCTGAAGTGTCTGTAACCTGAGCTACCACTGTACTTGGAGAAATTAACTTCTAAGGGAGTACCTGATCTCAGACGAACCCACCATAGGAAGGATGCTTCCTGGTTGCTAGGAAAAAAGGAAGGACAAACTACAGATTCCAAGGGCCAGAAAATGAGACAGGAGCAATAAAATAACACTGTTTACTTATCACCTGGGACGCGGGTGGCGCTGTGGTCTAAACCACAGAGCCTAGGGCTTGCCGATCAGAAGGTCAGCGGTTTGAATCCCCGCCACAGGGGAGCTCCTGTTGCTCTGTCCCTGCTCCTGCCAACCTAGCAGTTCAAAAGCATGTCAAAGTACAATTAGATAAATAGATACCGCTCCGGCGGGAAGGTAAACAGCATTTCCATGCGCTGTTCTGGTTCGCCAGAAGCGGCTTAGTCATGCTGGCCACATGACCCGGAAGCTGTACGCCGGCTCCCTTGGCCAATAAAGCGAGATGAGCGAAGCAACCCCAGAGTCGTTCGCGACTGGACCTAATGGTCAGGGGTCCCTTTACCTTTATTTATCACCTGATGCCCGAACAACCCACTTGTCAGTCACAGCTCTAACTTCACTCATTGGCTAAAAAGGCTGAAAGGCAGGAACAGCCAGCCTCGCTTATCTCACAGAAAATGATTCAAAGGGTACCAGGACATTTTGATCCGTAACTAACTTTCTAGGAGGGCTGCAGACTGACTTTGAAAAACAGAAACAAACTCAGGGTCTGAAGACCCTACTTGCCTTGGACCCAGCACATCAGTATTCCTGGTACCTGCCTCTCGGCAGCCCTGAATTTCAGGAAGGGTGAGTGAGAGAGAAATTAAACGGATCCCAATTTTATGGCTCTGTTGCATGGGGAACGGGTTGCAGATTAGCAGGCTAAGTTCCAGGTTCAGTTCCTGGCATCGCTGGATACCAGATCTCAAGAAGTATCTGCAACCCAGGTGGACAGCATGGCGCTAGATGGACCACGAGTCCTTCTATTTCCAATGTCCGGGGGGGGGGGGTGACGTTCCTTTGTTGACAAGCTGGAACATGGAAGGCAGCTGAGATGATCAAGGGTTTATTATTTATACCCCGCCCATCTGCCTGGGCTTCCTCAGCCACTCTGGGCGGCTTCCAACAAAATATTAAAATACAGTAATGCATCAAACATTAAAAGCTTCCCTAAACAGGGCTGCCTTCAGATGTCTTCTAAAAGTCTGGTCGTTGTTGTTCCACAGGGCGGGTGCCACTACTGAGAAGGCCCTCTGCCTGGTTCCCTGTAACTTGGTTTCTCGCAGTGAGGGAACTGCCAGAAGGCCCTTGGCGCTGAACCTCAGTGTCTGGGTGGAACGATGGGGGTAGAGACACTCCTTCAGGTATACTGGATATACCTTCAGATATACCTTCCTTGGAGATTTTTAAGCAGAGGTTGGGTGGCCATCTGTCAGGGGGTTGGACTAGATGACCCGTGGTTCCCTTCCAGCTCTTAAGATTCTTGGATTCTGTCCCTTGCACAAGAGGGATAAAAATGGAACTGCCTGTGATTGAACAGCTTCAGAGGAAGACCCAAGGTTTGTAGGAGCACAGACCTTCCTTCGTGGTGAATCCCAGAAAGGGAACCCCAAAACAGAGCTGTGTGTGCAGATTGGTCGAGGAATGCTGGCTGATGGCTGAGCGGAGGAAATCGAAAGCCAGGGGTTGGGGAGGAACGCAGTGGTCTGTCTGGGCCCTTCAGCAGAGATCCCTCCACGCTGCAGCGTCTTGGCGCAGCGGATCCCCCTTCTCAACATGCTTTTCTGCTGCAGGACGGGGACTGGGCAGCCGAAAAGGTGATCCAGATTCCAAACAAGAAGGTGTCAGGGTGGTACTTTCCTGAAATGCCAGGTGAGTAAAGAACGAGAAATAGGCGGCCGGCGGCTCGCTTTCTGTTATGTACTGAGTTGAATAGGATCCAACATGCAGCAGTCTGATTGGTCCTAGAACAATAGGGGCCAGAATGCAGCAGTCTGATTGGTCCTAGAACAATAGGGGCCAGAATGCAGCAGTCTGATTGGTCCACAGGAGCCACCCAATCCAGCTCCAGGTGGAAGTGAATCCACATCCTGATTCGCCTAGAGGAGAATCCCGGAATTATCCAATCATGTGGGGCCCATTGTGTAAATAATGTATATAAAGCAGACATTTCGGGGGAACTTCCATTCCTCCTCACCACTATGAGCTGAAAGAAGAGCATGAAATCCATTCTCGACTCCGAGTATATTTACCCTCCACGTTCCTTTCAGCTGAATCCGGCAGCCACTGTTCCCAGAGTAAAACCTAGCGTCGGATTTGATCGATAGGGCAGCTAGCTAGCGCCACTTCCTGGAAGACAGAGAACCGGTTGCTGTCATTCCATGCTTTGTGAACCTCTTAGATTAGACTACTGCAATGTGATCCTTGAAGGCAGCCTGGAATTGTAGTTCTGAGATGGGAGCTTCCTGGCGACTCTCAGCACCCTCAACAAGCTGTAGTTCCCAGAATCCTTTGGGGGCTAGAGGAAGCCATTACTGCTTAAAGTGGCATCAAAAGTGCTTTCAACGAATGGTGTGGGTCTTTGAATCTGTGTGGCAGAAAATAACCTAGGGAGTGGTTTTAACATTTAAAGCCCTAGGACCCTCGTACCTACGGGACCGCCTCTCCTGGTATGTCCCACGGAGGACCTTGCGGTCTTCAAATAAAAACATCTTTGAGGTCCCGGGCCACAGGGAAACTAGACTGGCCTTGACCAGAGCCAGGGCCTTTTCAGCTGTGGCCCCGATCTCTGTCCCAACAGACTAGGGCCCTGCGGGACTTGACATCTTTCCACAGGGCCTGCAAGACGGAGCTGTTCCACCAGGCCGTTGGCCAAGGCACAGTCTGACCCCCTCCTTCAGTAACCCTCATAGCACTCTAGCCCAATGCTTGCCGTCAATTTGATTCTGAATTGATTTGAGAATGAATTGATTTTAGGAGGTATTTCAGTTAATTGATTGTGATTTTTATGTATGTGTTATTTTTACTGTTGTTAGCCGCTCTGAGCCCGGCTTCGCCTGGGGAGGGCGGAATATAAATAAAATATTATTATTATTATTATTATTATTATTATTATTATTATTATTATGGAATAAAAGAAAATGAATGCTGACCTGCCCTCTTCTCCTCCAGGTTTCGTCACCGACATCCTCATTTCGATGGACGACCGGTTCCTCTACTTGAGCAACTGGCTGCATGGTGATCTCCGCCAGTACGACATCACCAACCCGTTCTGCCCTAAACTGGTTGGCCAGGTAAAAGAGCACCTGACCCCTTGCCAGACTTTGTGGGGTTCCCAGAAGCTTCTGGCTGACCAGGGTTGAAAACAGGATACTTGGCTAAATGACCGCAGAATTCTTATCACATCCACACTCTTGGTTCAGTTACACCTCAGGGACGATGATGATAATTAATAATAATATTTTATTACTCATACCCCGCCCATCTGGCCGGGCCTCCACACCCACTCTGGGTGGCTTCCAACAGAATATTAAAAACACGATAAAACATCAGCCATGAAAAACTTCCCTAAACAGGGCTGCCTTCAGATGTCTTTTAAACGTCAGGTGGTTGTTTATTTCTTTAACATCTGATGGGGGGGTTGCGTTCCACAGTCTGGGCACCACTACTAAGAAGGGCCACAATCAACACCCATCTGTCAATCCCTGGACATCACGACGACGACTGGGGATTTAAAAGTACCTCGCAGGGAACGAAACACAGTTAAAATGGAGGAAGAAGGCTCTGTTTTAGCAGGGGGTTCAATGTTCCTGGAACTCCTCATTGCTGCTCTAATATTATTATTATTATTATTATTATTATTATTATTATTATACTGCCCTATACCCGGAGGTCTCAGGGCAGTTCACATAAAAACATCACAGTATATAAAATAAAAATAAAAGCAATAACCCAATAATACACTCCCCCCCAAAAAAAGAGCCATATTTTAAAAGGGTATGGGCTGTTGATCAGGTCAACCAAAGGCCTGGTTAAAAAGGAATGTTTTTGCCTGGCTCCTTAAGGTGTATAATGAAGGCACCAGGTGAACTTCCTTGCTTCCCCCAAGGAATCATGGGAACTGTAGTTTCCCCCGTGGTGCTAGAACTCTCAGCACCCTCCACAAACTACAGTTCCCATAATTCTTTGCGGGGAAAGCCACATGTTTTAAAAGTGTACGGCATGGATATGACCTTGCCAGGCCAAACAGCTCCTTGGAAGATGCTGTTACTCGTGAGCTCAGCTGATTATCTCTCTCTTTCTCTGGGGTTTTGGGGGACTTGTTTTGCGCCCCCAGGTGTTTGTTAGGCGGGAACATTTACAAAGGCGGCGTGGTGACCGTCCTGGAAGACGATGAGCTGGACTGCCAGCCCGACCCGTTTATGATCCAGGTGAGTGAACCTGGAGCTGCAAGGGTGGCGAGGGAGCGGGAGGAATCCAAACTGAACCTTCCTCACCCCGCATTTTCTCTGCCTTTAGGGAAAGAGGGTCTATGGCGGACCTCAAATGATTCAACTCAGCTTGGATGGCAAGAGGCTGTACACAACGACCTCTTTGTACACACCTTGGGACAAGCAGTTTTACCCTCAGATGGTCAGGTAAGAGCATCAAGCAGCTAACTGGCTGATTCCGCCCCTTCTTCCCCTGCTCTGTACTGAAATCTGGGATGTGTGTATCACAAGTTCAGGGGGTTGGACTAGATGACCCTCGGGGTCCCATCCAACGCTGCAATTCTGTGATTCTGTAAGTGTCACAGCCTCCCTGCCAGGGAGGTGCTAGGGACTGAACCTGGCACCTTCTGCAGGCAAAGCAAGTGCTAATGCACTAAGCTATGCCCCTTCCCTTAAATATAATAGCAAGATTCCAGTCCTCATGGCTCTTTTTCTTTAAAAATATTTTATTAAAGCTGAAATATACTCGGAGTCGAGAGTGGATTTCATGCTCTTTATTCAGCTCATAGTGGTGAGAAGGAATGGAAGTTCCCCCAGAATCTGCTTTATATACATTATTTACACAATGGGCCCCACGTGATTGGCTAATTCCGGGATTCTCCTGTAGGCCAATCAGGTTGTGGGTTCACTTCCACCTGGAGCTTGATTGGGTGGCTCCTGCGGATTCAATCAGACTACTGCATTCTGGATTCTATTGTTCTAGGGCCAATCAGACTGCTGCATTTTGGATCCTATTCAACTCAGTACATAACAAAAGTTTTTTCATGATGCAATACAGTAAATAATCTAAAAAAGAACAAAGAGAGAAAGAGAAAACACCAAAGAAAAACCAAAAAGAGTAAAGGAAAAGGGCTTCTGATTTTCCGTCCGTCAGTTACATAAAAGAAATGATTCAAAATATTTACTCTAGAATGACACCCAACTGATCTACTTTCTGTTCTGTTTTCCCAGATAGATTAGTTCATTTCCCCTTTCACTCAAAAAGTCCAAAAGGGGATCTCTGATCATTATCTTTAATAAATGCCGGCAGTGGTTTTCCTCTAATCCAGGGGTTGGCAAACTAAGGCTCGTGGGCTGGATGCGGCCCACTGGGCTTGTTAATCTGGTCCGCGGACCCTGCCGCCTGCTCGGTCAGTCCCTGCACTAAATTGGTGTGGCACGGAGGACTCACCACACAGGTACTGACCACGCAGGGGGGTCCTTTTGGGAGAGGGTGGGACTGGCCCCCCACCATGTCTGAGGGACAGTGGACTGGCCCCCTCCTGAAAAAGTTTGCTGACCCCTGCACTAATCAAACCGATCAGCTTTGTCTCCCATAACTTCAACGACCCTTCCTCCATATTAGACAACAATAAGTCTTTCCATCTTGGTCCACGCAAGAATCTCTCCACTGTGATCATATATTAAAATAGTGTCCCATACTTCTTTGCTTATTGTGTATACGGTCCTCATGGTTCTGATGAATGGTCTGATTTAAGCAGGAAGACAGGGATCTGCCTTGCACTGAGTCCTCCCCCAGGTGCATCTGATCCTGTCTGCACTGACCATAGCTGTCAACCGTCCCTTATTTGGCGGGAAACTCCCTTATCCCAGCGCCGTGTCCCACTGCTGTCCCTTATGGATGATGTCCCTTAAATTTCCCGGGTTTCAAAGGAAGCAGTTCCTCTCCCTCCCTCCCTGCCGGCCAGGGAGGAGGGAGGCTCCAACTGTGTTGCTTGGCTGCGTTGCTCACCCAATAAGGAGTCTAAGAATGACTGGGGGGTGGAGCTTGCATGCCTTGTGCCAATCAAATCGGCCGCGTTGCCTGGGGACTCGCCTTTGCTCAGCGCTTCCCAGCGGAGAGGTGACGGTGCTTTTCCTTGCTGCATCCCCTTTGCCGGGTTGCTGTGCTGTGCGAACCACCGCTTGAGGCTTCGTTTGGCTGCTGGCTGGGCTTTCTGCCTTTGGCTCCGAGGGGCTCAGAAGTCGAACATACCTATGCTGGGAAAATCCCTTATTTTGGCTGTTGATCCCTTATTTTCGAGGCTGCTGGTCCCTTATTTTCAAATCTGTAAGTTGACATCTATGGCACTGATCGACAGCATCCCTCCTGCTTCCCGGCACAGAGTCTTTCCCAGCTGTACCTCGAGATGCTGGGGAATGAATGAACTTTATTACGGTCACAGACCAGGATAAAACAAACAAACAAACACATATAAATAAAATAGCAGTTAGGATTTTATTTTTTTTAACCGATAAAATTGTTAGAGCAAATAAGGACAAAGAAACAAGCATAGGATAAAACATCTGAATAAAATACAAGATTAAACAAAGATAATGGATGGATAAAAACAGATAATTAAAACAGATAAGAACTAAAAACAAATATAAACACGCAGTTAAAACAACTGTAAGAGCATCAGAACTAAAAGACTCGCATTTAAAACAACTATAAGAGGCTGCAGAGTAGAAGCCTCTGAAATAGACACTCACAACATTAGAAACTGATGTGCAAATATGGTTAAAACAGACAATTAAAACAATGTACAACAATAAATTTAGAAACCATGTACAACAATAAACTATCCCAGGGAGTTGACTCAGAGTCACCCATGGAACTGAGTTGGGGATTTTCATGCCGGATTATTTTGAGTTGGGCGATGGTCTGCGCCTACAGATTTGTATGCTGGGGAATGGATCTGCCAAGCAACGGATCTGCCTCTGAGCTCCCTTTTGCCTTCGCCTTTTGCAGGGAAGGCTCAGTCATGCTGCAAATCGACGTGGACACCGAGAACGGCGGCCTCTGTGTGAACCCAGACTTCCTGGTGGATTTCGGGAAGGAGCCCTTTGGTCCTGCTCGCGCTCACGAGATGCGCTACCCCGGGGGAGATTGCACATCGGACATCTGGATCTAGGCAGATCTAGGTGATCTGGGCAGGCCTCTCTCTCCCCTCCTTCCTCCTGCTAAGCTAACTTTACGGAAGCATCTCTTCGTCACAGGTTTTCACCCTTTAAAAATGTCTGTATGCCCCTGCTGAGTCATGGGAGTCCCTCTCTCTCCCGAGTCAGCGGTTTTCTTCCCTGCCTGCCTCCAAAGTATTTTTTTTAATATGTATTTTGTACAACAATAAACCAATCTAAAGGGCGGGGGAGAGAATTGCATAGGGTGGTTTTGGCACTCAACTCATTGCATGACAAGACTGTTGAAAACAGAGCTGCAGAAAATGAATAAACATTTTTTAAAATCTTATATGCTTGATACATGGCCCCTTCATTAATGGGTAGCAGGTGGTCTGATCGTCTGATTTATTTACACACCGTATTTTTCCATGTATAAGACTAGGTTTTTTTCCTGAAAAAAATAATGTCAAAAATTAGGGGGCGTCTTATACAGTGGTACCTCGGGTTACAGATGCTTCAGGTTACAGACTCCGCTAACCCCGAAATAGTACCTCGGGTTGAGAACTTTGCTTCAGGATGAGAATAGAAATCGTGCGGCAGCAGCAGGAGGCCCCATTAGCTAAAGTGGTGCTTGAGGTTAAGAACAGTTTCAGGTTAAGAACGGACCTCCAGAACGAATTAAGCTCTTAACCCGAGGTACCACTGTACACAGATACATCTCTCCCCATTTTCTTAAATCTGAGTCCCCCAAAATAGGGGGCGTCTTATAGACAGAAAAATACAGTAACTGAAAAAGGGAAACTGGGAGGTATCAAATGGGCCACATTTAATCTTCCCTTGCACCTCACATCTATACTGTGCTAAATGCTCAGAGAGCATTTATTATTATAATATTTATTTATATTCCACTTTTTCCCCAGGCCAGGAGGACTCAAGGCGGCTTAACAGAAATCAAAGCAACACAGTTAAAATACAGAAAGCTAAAAATATATAAAAGGTAATAGTTAAAAGGTAATTAAACTGTAATAGAATTAAAACAATATAGCATTCCTCATAAGGCTTGGTTTCCAGACTTTTGGTCATCTTGGTTGCCCTCCTCTGCATACATTCAGCTTGTCAACATCCTTCTTAAATTGTGGCGCCCAGAACTGGACACAGGATTCCAGGTGTGGCCTGACCAAGGCAGGAGAGAGTGGGACTATTACTTCCCTTGATCTGGACAGCATACCTCTGTTGATGCAGCCTAGAATAGCGTTAGCTTTTTTTGCCGCTGCATCACACTGTGGACTCATGTTGAGCTTGTGGGTCCACCAAGACCCCTAGATCCTTTTCACAGGTACTACTGGCAAGCCAGGTGTCTCCTACCTTATATTCGTGCATCTGCTTCTTCCTGCCTAAGTGTGTTGGGTATGTTTAGCCTGGGAAACAGGAGACTGAGGTGGAATTTAGGTAAAGGTAAAGGGACCATGACGTCCAGTCGTGGCCGACTCTGGGGTTGTGGCGCTCATCTCGATTTATTGGCCGAGGGAGCCGGTGTACAGCTTCCGGGTCATGTGGCCAGCAGGACTAAGCTGCTTCTGGCGAACCAGAGCAGCGCACGGAAACGCCATTTACCTTCCCGCCGGAGCGGTACCTATTTGTCTACTTGCACTTTGATGTGCTTTCGAACTGCTAGGTTGGCAGGAGCAGGGACCAAGGAACAGGAGCTCACCCCATCGCAGGGATTTGAACCGCCGACCTTCTGATCGGCAAGCCCTAGGCTCTGTGGTTTAACCCATAGCGCCACCCACATCCCTCTGAGATGGAATTTAGACACATTAAAAAAAGTTGTGAAAATGCTTTTATTAAAAAAAATTGTTTTGAAACATAGATTGAATTTGCTATAGCTCACTGTTGCCAGGTAGAGTCACAATTGTATGATGCAATTTACAACACACTTAAAACAGTTTATTTGCAGCTGTATAGCTGAGTCCTGAGAATAGATATCGTAAAGGTAAAGGGACCCCTGACCATTAGCCATTAGGTCCAGTCGTGGCCGACTCTGGGGTTGCAGCCCTCATCTCACTTTACTGGCCGAGGGAGCCGGCGTACAGCTTCCAGGTCATGTGGCCAGCATGACTAGGCCGCTTCTGGTGAACCAGAGCAGCGCACGGAAACGTCATTTATCTTCCCGCCAGAGCGGTACCTATTTATCTACTTGCACTTTGATGTGCTTTTGAACTGCTAGGTGGGCAGGAGCAGGGACCGAGCAACGGGAGCTCACCACGTCACGGGGATTCAAACCACCGACCTTCTGATCGGCAAGCCCTAGGCTCTGCGGTTTAACCCACAGCGCCACCCGTGTCCCTAATAGATATCATAGCCGTCTTCAAATACCTAAAGGACTATGGCATGGAAGAGGGAGCAAGCTTGTTTTCTCCTACTCTGGAGGGTAGGACTCGAACCCGTGGCTTCAAGCTACAAGAAAGGAGATTCCAACTAAACTTCAGGAAGAACTTTCTGGCAGTGAGCTGTTCAACAGTGGAACAGTCTCCCTCAGGAGGTTGTGGGTTCTCTTTCCTTGCAGGTTTATAAGTTGAATGGCCATCTCTCAAGGATGCTTTAGCTGAGATTCTTGTATTGCAGAGGACTGAAACAGAGGACCCTCAAAGTCCCTTCCAACTCTGCAATTCCATGATTCTATAACAACAAATCTATTAAATACAGAGAATAAAAACAGCACAGAAACATTAAAAGCCTTTTCCTTCAGAAAGGCCAGTCACCAAAGGCCTACTGAAATAAAACAATATTCACCTGCTCAATGCTTTTGTTCTGGGGGTACGCATACCCATAAACATTTTGTGAATCTTTTGGTGCATTTACTGTATTTATTTTTCCTGATTTGAACAAAAAAATTATGATTTCTTGAGTCAAAATGAGAGTACCCCTAAACCATTTTTTTTAAAGAAAAAAAGCACCACATCTGCTGGTGGAAAAACAAGGAAGGAGCCAGTCTTGCTTCTCTAGGGAGAGAGTTGCAAAGCCTGGGAGCCACCACCGAGAAGCCCCTCTCAAACCATGTCCTGCCATCCTATTCTAGGTGGACCTTAACACTCCTTCCACTGCTGAGCGACTTCCATACTCTTTAATGAGCCAGCCAGCTCCAAGGGGCCCAATATAGGGCATGGGGTGGTTGTTTGACCAGCCCTCTAGCCCCCCTTATGAAACAACCTAACTATGAAAAGCAAATAGGCCCAGCTCGCAACGCAGCTTAAACCAAGCAGAGAGCACCTGGTGTTCAAAATTCCCCTTTGGCTCAGTTAATGAATGCAGTTTAGTGGAAACCGTAGTTTCGATTCAGGCTGAGGTTTGGGGTTTCGGTATATTTTTGAATGGGAGAGAATGATCAATGAATTCCCCACCAACACCAGGTAGAGGGGACAATGTGTTTGTGTGGGAAGAACCAGCAGTTTTGAAACAATTACAAGATGCACAACTTTCCTGCCCTGGTTGAATAATAATAATAATAATAATAATAATAATAATAATAATAATAATAAATGATGTATGGAAGTGAGAGCTGGACCATAAAGAAGGCTGATCGCCGAAGAATTGATGCTTTTGAATTATGGTGCTGGAGGAGACTCTTGAGAGTCCCATGGACTGCAAGAAGATCAAACCGATCCATTCTGAGGGAAATCAGCCCTGAGTGCTCACTGGAAGGACAGATCCTGAAGCTGAGGCTCCAAGACTTTGCCCACCTCATGAGAAGAGAAGACTCCCTGGAAAAGATCCTGATGCTGGGAAAGATGGAGGGCACAAGGAGAAGGGGACGACAGAGGACGAGATGGTGGGACAGTGTTCTCGAAGCTACCAGCATGAGTTTGACTAAACTGCGGGAGGCAGTGGAAGACGGGAGTGCCTGGCGTGCTCTGGTCCAGGGGGTCATGAAGAGTCGGGCATGACCAAACGACTAAACAACAACAACAATAATAAATTTTATTTATACCCCGCCCTCCCCAGCCAAGACCGGGCTCAGGGCGGGTAACACCAGGTATAAAAACAATTGATTAAAATGCAACTTAAAAACAAGATTAAAATACAACATTAAAATGCAGCCTCATTTCAGTACCCGTTTCCCAGGTTCAGCATCTCCCGATATGGGGCTGCGATGCTCCCTGCCTGAAACCCGGGAGATTTGCCCTCCCCAGGCCTCCAAACACACCCTCCAGACCCAGAGGAATGGGTGAGATCCACAGTTTCTGCAAGCTTATTCATTCCTGGGGCTGCAGCGTCACCTGCTGCCCAAACTGCCACCTAGCAATTTAAACCGCATCCTTCCTGGAACAAAAAGTCCACCCAGATCCCTTGCAAGTATAGGGATCCAGTATAGGGATCCAGTATAGTATAGGGCCCAGCCCTCTGGCACCCTAGATTGTCTACCTCCATTATTGTTGAGATCCAGGGTCTACTGTCCTTAAACCACTTCTAGTTTTTGACGGAAGCAAATAGCTGTGCGTGATAAATTTTGATCCAGCCTGCATTTAAAGGCAAAGCCTGTGTAATTTGTACTTTCTGAAGCAATCTGCGAACTGCCACACTGCAGAACACGCCCTTTTCTTAATTTTGCAATGCAGCCAAGTAATGGGTGCAAAGATGCAGTGCTTTTTTCCCCTTAAAAAAAGTGTTTAGGGGTACTCTCCTTTGGACTCAAGAAAAACCACCATTTTATCGTTCAAACTGGGAAAAATAAATACAGTAAATGGACCAAAGTACAAGGATTCACAAAATGTTTAGGGGTATGTGTACCCCTGCGTCCCTCTAGGGGGAGAAAGCACTGCAAAAATGGACATGCAAAGGTCGAATGTGGCAAAGGATGTGTGTTTTAGCGAAATGAACAGGTAATAACCATTAAGCCGTTTTGCAAGGGTTATTTTATTTACTTATTGCCTCCATAGTCCATTCCCTGCCCCCTTCCCGGAGCTCAGGGTGGCATGCATGCTTCCCCCACACCTAATTTCATCCCCACAACCACTCTTGTGAGGTAGGTTGGGTAGAGAGGCAGGATCCGGCCCATGGGCACATTTATGGCTTAGTGGCGATCTGAACCCAGGTCCAATCCTCTAACCACCACATCACAACTCTATTTGTCAAAAATTGCACAGAAAAATATTTAGATGAGGGGTAAACGGAAGTTCTCGGGATTATTTGGTGCTCTAGATGTGCTTCAAGAGGGACGCGGGTGGCGCTGTGGGTTAAACCACAGAGCCTAGGACTTGCTGATCAGAAGGTCAGCGGTTCGAATCCCCGTGACGGGGTGAGCTCCTGTTGCTCGGTCCCTGCTCCTGCCAACCTAGCAGTTCGAAAGCACGTCAAAGTGCAAGTAGATAAACAGGTACCACTCTGGCGGGAAGGTAAACAGTATTTCCGTGCACTGCTCTGGTTCGCCAGAAGCGGCTTAGTCATGCTGGCCACATGACCCAGAAGCTGTACCCCGGCTCCCTCGGCCAATAAAGCGAGATGAGCGCCGCAACCCCAGAGTCGGCCACGACTGGACCTAGTGGTCAGGGGTCCCTTTACCTTTTTAGATGTGCTTCAAGTGTATCACAGGAGAGTTGGAAGGTACCCTGAGGATTATCTAGTCCAGGGGTCAGCAAACTTTTTTAGCAGGGGGCAGGTCCACTGTCCCTCAGACCTTGTGGGGGGGGCGGACTCTATTTTGGAAAGGAAAAAAAAATGAACAAATTCCTACGCCCCACAAATAACCCAGAGATGCATTTTAAATAAAAGGACATATTCTACTCATGTAAAAACACAATGATTCCCAGACCGTCTGCGGGCCGGAGTGAGAAGGTGATTGGGCCGGATCCGGACCCCGGGCCTTAGTTTGCCTACCCATGATCTAGTCCAACCTTCTGCAGTGCAGGAGTTTTGCTCAACTTGGCGCACAAACTCACAACACTGAGATTAAAAATCTTATGCTCTACCAACTGAGCTAAGGTGTTTAAGAGTGCTTTACTGTAATTGCTGTAATTAAATTTATATGCCACCCTATACCTGCAGGTCTCAGGGTGGTTCACAAGATAAAACTACAATATAAAACCACAAAATACATAATAATAATAATAATAATAATAATAATAATAATTTATTATTTATACCCCACCCATCTGGCTGGGTTTCTCCAGCCACCCTGGGCGGCTTCCAACTGAATATTAAAAACAATACAGCATTAGACATTAAAAACTTCCCTAATCAAAATATAAGCAGAAACATCCGAATAACCCCCCTCCAAAAAACCTCCCACATAAAAACAGTTAAAAAGCAATTTTTAAAAAGAAAAAACACAATTAAAAAGCAGTTTGAAATAATGTAGACAGTCATCTACTTTAGATCACTGGTCTTCACTGGGTAGGTCAGGACCCCTTAGTGGGTTTCATCCTGATCCAAGGTGGGTCACAGCAGGAGCACTAGGGCCAGGCAGACAGATGCCAAAAAGTTAAGAAATAGGCCTCTAAATGCACGTTTGGCTTAAAAGCGGGGTTCTGAATCTGGAAAAAGTTGGTGATCCCTGGTTTAGATGTATTATGAGGCCGTGTGCTATGCCTATAAGGATGCAAAAGGACCAGCAAATGTGGATGCCGGTGGAGTGCTCCCTCAGGGCGCTACAATTCCCAGCACCCTTGAACTACAATTCCCAGTATTTCGTGATCCCCATCACCAAATAACACGGGGAATTGTAGTTCAAGGGTGCTGGGAATTGTCCCGTGCATTGAATGTATGGAGACCACAGCCGAGGTGCCTGCCATCCCCCTGCCAAAAAAGTATGATTTTCAAGAAAGGAGCGAGGGAAAATGGGAATAAATAGAGGACAGTTTGAAAATGACGTTTTGTGTATAGGCTTGGGATTCAAATATATAATGATAGGAATTAAAATGTCTAAAGCTAAAATAGAAAGAATGAACGATGTTAAGTGATTAAGTTAATTTTATGAGGAAATTGGTTTTGGGAAACTGTTAAAATGATCCACACTGAAATTCAACTAGGGGGATTTGAGGAAGTCAATTAACAATGTTACTAAGATTGGTTTAATTGCGGTTGAGATTTGTGTTTGTTTGTTTGAAATTTTTGGAAAATCGATTAAAAAAATTGGGAAAAAGGAAAAAAAATGACTTTTTGTGGGTTTTGGAGCCTGAGACCTTTGCATCCCAGCGAGCCTCGGGGGTTAACGTGATCCTAGTGCAGCCAGTCCAGTCCTTTCAAAAAAAGGAGAAAAAAATAAATTAAATATAAATATAAAGGCAGCCCTGCGCGCCCCTTTTCCTCGTCCGCTCCTGAACTGGCAGAGCTCGGACCAACCAGAAGCGCGTTGCTAGGCAGACTTCCCGACCCCGCTGGCCAATCCGCAGCCGAGCCCCAGCTGTATCCGGGTGGAAAGCGAGAAAACCACGCGGCAGCCATTTGCATTAAAGAAGAGCGCCGTATCCGGGCAGACCAGAGGCGCGCGGGCCAATCAGAGAAAAAGAAAACCCCGCCGGCCCCGCCCACCCGCTCCTCTTCCCCCCGCCCCCCTCGGCTGCTAGTTTCTTTTTCCCTTTTATTTTTGCAAGGGCTCAGATGCGCCGCGTAAACTGCAAGAGGGGTGGATCCTTTTGCAAGCGGAGTAGGAAATCCGCATTGGGGAAAAGGGGATCCTAAAAGATCCAGGAAATATTATTTTAAAAAAAATTGGGGGGGGGAGAGGAATCCATTAACTCTTTGGGGCAGGGAGAAGTTTGGGTTTTGGAGCAGCGATGTTTGCAGCTCCTGAGTTTTTCCTGAGCTTTCCCTTTTTGCAAAACGCGGCCCGGATCTTAAAAAGCTGCAGGAAGAGGAATCTCAGCCTGAAATAAAAGGTAAGTGCCATTTCACCCTCTTTCCCCAAATAAATATATATATATATAGAGAGAGAGAGAGAGAAAGGTTGATGGGGGGGGGGGGCGGAAGAGTTTACAATTCTGGGAGTTTTCTGGATTAAGGAAACGGATCGAATTGGCTGTGATCAAGGGAGATCCGTTTCCAAAAAGAGGGAATGGATCAAGACAGATCCCTTTAAAATGCATCTGAGCTGATGGAGGAACTTTGCAAAAAGGCGCCTGTGTTGTAGTTGTTTTTCATGGCGAGTTTTTGGATTGAGATGCATGCATTTTAGAAGCAGGGGAGCATAGCTGGCAACTTTTCCCTTTTCTTGAGAGGAATCCTATTCGGAATAAGGGAACTTCCCTTTTTAAAAAAGGGAAAAGTTGGCAGCTATGCAGGGGAGACTCCTGAAAAATAGGGGTTTCCTTCTAAGGGTAGGAGGATGGGGAAGAAGAGGTGGTTTGTGTGATCTCAAGCAACAAAAAGGTTGACTCAATTTCTCTCTCTCTCTCTCTTTGCAAAAGGAGGTTTTGGGTTTCCCCACATTCTCACTGCAGGAATTCGAATTTCCCTCCTCCTGGAATTTAAATACGTGGTGCAGCTGCTAGCATGATCACCCGCCTCTGGGGCACGGAGGAGATAAACTTCAGTTTCCCGCCCAAGGAATGTGTGTGTTTATTATGGGGTGTTTAGATTTTAATCTGGATCCAACAGAGGGGATCCAATTGGAGTAGCAATCTTGGTGAGTTAATCTTCCCCTCCCCGCAAGGCAGAAATGTACCGTCAGCCAAGACAGATTGTCTATCAGTGATATATTTTGTATATTTATAAAAAGCACCCAGCAGCCCTTCACATGAGCTCTGCCTGGAACCCTTTTGGGAGTTGCTAAAAAACCAAAATAATAGGTAGGGTACTGTGGCGAACAGCAGCTATTTCATCGTCATGTCTAGATTTGCACAGCTGCTGAAAACCTGACACGAGGGTGCTTAGCCGAACTTCTGAGTCAGCTTGGCGTGGGATGCAGGAATTTAAAATTAAAAGCCTGATCTTTAACGTCTAATATGTACGCTGAGGGGTGGTTGGCCTTCTGCGATCAATCCAGAGCATGAAAGGTTGATTTCAACATGTTCAACGCTCAAAACAGTCCCCAGGTTTCTCTCCCCACACATGCCTTTCATTGTGGGCACAGGTCTCTGCCCCCAAGGAGCTTACATTTGTTGGAAAACTGAGTTTAACGCATTGTTCATTGCCGCAGGTGTCTTTGTCGGCTGACCGGCAGAAATGAAGAATGAAAAAATGTTTAAAATAAATCCGTAAGATAAAAAGTAAAACACTTTTTTAATTGAATGTATTAACTTATGTGCGTATGTCTCTTTTCCTCAGGGAACTGAAGGTGGCATACATGTTGCTGTCTTCCCCCCTCCATTTTATCGTCACAACAACCCTGTGAGGTAGGTAAGGCTTGATGTGTGCGACTGCCGGCTTCAGGGTCACACCTGGGAATCCCGGGAACTGTAGTTTTGCTAAGGGTGTTTGGCATTGTAACTCTCTGGGGAGTAAACTACAGGTCCTATGATTCTTTTGGGGCGATGTGGTTTAAATTTATGACTCCAGATCTCTCTGCCAAAGCAGCTGGTGAGTTTCTGTTTTGTTGTTAAAGGCTCAGGAGCCTTGGCGGCGAAAAAGAGTTGGCAACTTAACTATGATGGGCGGTTTGACAAGAGTCAGACAGGACTTTCAACTGAAATTACTGTTAACTTGTTTACATATTAGCAATGTGCAGGGCTGTTTATGGTCAGGAGAAAGTTCCCTGCCCCAAAGAGATTACAGGTTTAAATCACCCGGGCTCTACTGTGATGCTGCTGTCAAGAGGTGAGTGCCTTTGATCATGCACAGAGTGCCCAGATATTCACATCAGGTTGCAAAAGAGCTGGCTTTCGGGTTGATGTGGGATCTTTTTTTTTTTTTTTTTTAAGAGAATTATAGGGTCATGCTTAAGGGAGCATGGGCAGGATCGCATCCCACCATAATACAGTGGTACCTCTGGTTGCGAACAGGATCCATTCCGGAGGCCCGTTCGCAACATGAGCAGAACGCAACCTGCAGGTCACGATTTGTCGCTTCTGCGCATGCACGTGACGTCATTTTGCGCGTCTGTGCATGCGTGAGCGTCAAAACCCGGAAGTAACCCTTTCTGGTACTTCCGGGACGCAGCCTGAAAACACTCAACCTGAAGCAAACATAACATGAGGGATGACTATGCTATCATACCTTGGGTTACAGACGCTTCAGGTTGCGTTTTTTTGAGTTATGGACCCACCGAAACCGGGAAATACCGCAATGGGTTACTTCTGGGTTTCGGCGGTTGCGCATCATGCTTTCCGCATGTGCAGAAGTGCCGAATTGCAGTGCATGCGCAGACGCGGCGCTGCGGGTTGCGAACATGCATCCCGCACGGATCACGTTCGCGACCCGTGCGTCCGCTGTAATGAGAAATAGTGTGTGAGGGAGAGCAGGTTTGACGGCTTATAGTTCCGAAACGTTTCAGCGCAACGGCTTGGGACGTGGCAGCGTAGGGGAGGAAGGTTTGAGGACGGTCCCTGCTGAATTTGGGGTGGAAAGGATGAGAAATGGCTGAGTTTGAGCAAGTTCACAAGAGGCTGTGGCGCACTGGCAGGTGCTGTTGCGTGTTTTTCATCCATGGACTTTGCAGGACTGCTTACCTCCTGGAAATGGTATTCTGTGCTTTGGAAAAAGGGATTGTTGTTGTTTTTTCAGGTTGAGGGTGTGCTTCGACTCCTGTTTATTTATTTTTTACTTTAAAAGCTTCTTTTTTCTCCCCCCGGCCAGCGTTCAGTCAGTGGACTTGCTCGTCTTGCTGTTGCCATGGTTTCGGACCAATCTCAGGCTCCAGAAGTGGAGGAGCTCTCTGTTGCTAGGCAGGATTCTCTCACAAGGCCAGGGACCTTGGAAGAGTTTGCAGTTCAGGTGAAGGTTAGAAGGAGGTGTGAAAGGAGCTGCGGAGAAGAAATAATATCTCCGGGAGATGAGTCTGAATTTGTTTCAGAGGCTTTGGGGGGTGGGAAGAAGAAGAGGAATCTTCTCTGAGGTCCACAGGATGGATGGAAGACAGGCAGCTTTTGAAAGCGTGGAAGAAACTGCGGAACTCACTGCCACAGGAGGAAGTGAGGACCGCCAGCTTGGGTGCCTTGAAAAGAGGACTGGACAAATTCAGTAGTGATCGTGTTGCGGGGTGCTTGCTTTTTCAGCCGAATTTCCTCTTTTCTTGTTGCAACCTCTAAAGGTTATTTTTTTATATATAACAATTTTCATTGTTTTTTCAGTTTATACATCTCAAAATAAACATTTTACATGTAACAATTGACTTCCCTCCTTCCCCTTTGATCGTTTATTTTACTTATTTAAATTTCCTGCATATTTTACTATAACCAATCTATTCGTTTTTCCATTTTATATCCTTCAAATATTTATCATACTGTTGAATTTATCTAAACGCTACCAGCGTTTTCAGTTATACACAGTTATTTTCTAAATATTCAGCACCTCTCTTCGAATAAAGATTCTTCTTGCTCTCTTATTCTGTAAATTAAACCAGTTTCCTCCACAAATTCTACCATCTTAATTTGCCAATCTTCCTAACGAGGGATCTCACTCCCTTTCGATCTTTGGGCTGGCAAAATTTGAGCCGCTGTGGTTGCGTACATAAATAACTTTTTCTGACAACTGGGGTCTTCAGACTGAACTATCTCTAACAAAAAGGCCTCAGATTTTTTGGGGGGGAATGTTGTTTTAAACATGTTTTTTAACTCATTGTATGTCATTTCCCAATAGCCTTTAACCTTTTTCCATGTCTACCACATGTGAAAAAAAGTCCCTTCCATTTCTCTGCATTTCCAACGCAGATCTGATCCTACTTTGTACATCTTAACCAACCTACTTGTGGTTAAATACCATCTGTGTATCGTTTCAAATAATTCTCTTTCAAAGTATAATAACACGCAGTAAATTTTGAAACGTTCTTCCAGAGTTTCTCCCAGACGTTTAGGTCTATGTTATGCCCTATCTCCATTGCCTGGTGTGTCACTGAATCTTTGACTAACTCATCTTTTGTTTCCCATTCTAATAATAAGCTATACATTTCTGACAATATTTTATCCTTATTCCATAATAGTTCTCTTTCAAACTGTGAGCTTTGGTCCAGAAACCCATTTTTCAAAATCTAATTTGAATGTGTTATGTATCCGATGATACTGTCACCGATCCGTAATTTGGCTCCTTACTTCTTCCATTGGGGCAACCTCAGAAGGTTAGGCTTGCCAACTGACCTGGAAAACCCCAGCCAGACTTGCTCCTGCGCCTTTTAGCATCCATACAACATGCAGAAATCGGCTCTGCTCAGAAAGACACCCATTAAGATAAATGGACACGACTAACATAGGTTTGGGGACGTGGGTGGCGCTGTGGATTAAACCACAGAGCCTAGGACTTGCCCATCAGAAGGTCGGCGGTTCGAATCCCCGCGATGGGGTGAGCTTCCGTTGCTCGGTCCCTGCTCCTGCTAACCTAGCAGTTCGAAAGCACATCCAAGTGCAAGTAGATAAATAGGTACCGCTCCAGCGGGAAGGTAAACGGCATTTCCGTGCACTGCTCTGGTTCGCCAGAAGCGGCTTAGTCATGCTGGCCACGTGACCCGGAAGCTGTACGCCGGCTCCCTCGGCCAGTAAAGCGAGATGAGCGCCGCAACCCCAGAGTCAGCCACGACTGGACCTCATGGTCAGGGGTCCCTTTACCCTTTACCTTTACTAACATAGGTCTATCGAATTTCGAACGGTTGTCCTCTGAGTAGGGACAATAATCTAGGGCCTGTTCCCATCACTCCACAGAAGTCCAGTTAAATTTACATTTCTGGAAAGGGAGTGAAGTCTTGACATGGAGACCAGAATTTACACGCTGTGATTTACCAATTGCTGTTTGTACGCACCAAATAGTCAATCTGAGCAAATGAGGCTGCGAGACCCGACGAGAGCATTGTATCCCATTCAGTTCTGCTCACAGCAGAGGCATCGAAATAAATGAACTTAAGTTACTGTTCATTTCAGTGGGTCTGCTCTTGAGTAGGACCAGGCCTGGGTGTAACACAGGGTCAGGGCCGGATTTAGGTTTGATGAGGCCCTCAGCTACTGAAAGTAATGGGGCCCTTTCTATATCCTTTGTCAACAACAGATTGTCGGTTTTTTGTGTTGAATAAATGCTATATGGTAATTGCTGGACCTAATAGGTATCTAAAGCCATTTGCACATGTTGTCCTGCAACCAGTCCATGCAGAATGTAGGCACCCTGTATATAGAAAGGAGCAAACCAGGGATATTTTAGGGAGCAGGCGGGGCCCATGACTTACATCCTAGGAGCCGACACAACACAAAACACTGTTGCTGTATGTAGGGTTTTTTTTTATTTGCTTTTTTATCTTATATTTTGGAAATGTACATCCAGGTGTTTTTTTCCTTTAAATTTTTTTGGGGCCCCCCAAGAGAGTGGGGCCTAAGCTATAGCTTGTTTAGCTTTTATGTAAATCCGGCACTCTGACAGGGTTGTTTTTCTCTGGGGTGATGGGCTCGCGCCATGTGCAACGACTAAGGCGTTGGGCTCCTCTTTCTCTCTTTGAAACAGGGAACCGGGTGCCATGGCGGACGACAACGGACTTTATACGAAGATCGCGGAAAACATGAGCGAAAGCCTAGAGGCGGATCCGCAGGGCGTCTCCGTGGAGTCAAGTACCTTGCTACAGAAACTGAGAGGAACTATTTCGTAAGGGCGATGCTTCTTATTCCTTTCCCCTGCCTTCCTTCTCTCCCTCCTCTTTCCTTCCTTCCTGCCTTCCTTCTTAGGCCCTCTTTGCACCAGACATACCAGTTCTGTATTTGCAATAAATCATATCTTTTAGTGTGGCAGCACTTTGGAACTCCCTGCCTATTGACCCCGTCCTTTTTTAGACCCCTGCTAGAAACATATTTGCTCAGGCACAGCCTGCACCCAGACATGTAGAAAGTTGGCACGCGTTTTAATCTGGTTTCCAGCTTATTGCTGGTTTTAATTAATTCCGGATGTTTAGAAAGAGTCGTTTTAAACTGCATTTTTTTACTGGTAACGTCACCGTTTTCTTTTGTGAACCGCTTTGAGGTTTGTTTTACAATCGGGCGGTATATGAATTTTGTGAATGAATAAATATATTCCCCCCCCCCCGAATAAGAACAGTATGTTTAAAGCAGCCCCATGCCACTTTAAACAGTCACAGCTCCCCCCAAGGAATCATGGGAACTGTAGTTTGTTCAGGGTGCTGAGAGTGGGGGCGACGAGACTTCTGTTCCCCGTCACAGGCCTACCATTCTTGGAAGGGTTTAGCGATCCATCCCTGAGTGGAAGGGGGTCTCTTAACCACTCTCAGCACCCTGAACAAGCAACAGAGAGAGAGAGAGAGACCTGTTTGAAGCCTGATCCACAGCTAATTCTCCCCTGGCCTCCTTGCTGGCCCAAGTAGGACTAATTCAGCCAGCTAGCCCTGGTGATTTATCTAATGCTTATTAGATGGATTTCCCCTAAATTGATTTCTGAACTTTGAATTTTATTGTTATTCATGTTTTTATACTGTGTTTTTATGCTGCTTTTACAATTAAGTGTTTTAAATTTGTTGTTAGCCGCCCTGAGCCCGGTTTCTGAACCGGGAAGGGTGGGGTATAAATAAAAAATTATTATTATTATCCTGAGGTTGCCTGCACATGTCCTAGAGCAGGCACCCCCAAACTCGGCCCTCCAGACGTCTTGGGACTACAACTCCCATCATCCCTAGCTAACTGGACCAGTGGTCAGGGATGATGGGAACTGTAGTCCCAAAACATCTGGAGTTTGGGAGTGCCTGTCCTAGAGGGTGAAGGGAGCTGAAAAAAATCAAGAGAGTAACACATGGTTTTCTTCTTACAGGAAGTCTGTTCAGTGCAAAATCGACTACATACTGGTGAGTGGCTGGATGGGGCACTTAAAAGCAGCTGGGGGAAACTAAAATAACACGCACCTGTTCATACAATATGTGGCCGATGAATTGCGCTTTGGGTAAATATGGGCTGAGTTCTCCCTCCAGTGTCAGAGGCAGAATACCAGCTGCTGCGAACACAGACTGGGAGAGTCGCCTTGGCGGTTTCCAAAGAGGCATCTATCAGAATAGGATGCTGGGCAGCTTCCGCCTGACGCAGCGCTTCTGATATTCTTCTAGTGCAGTGATCATCACCTGGTCTGGACCCAAGACTGGCTGCCAGCCTGCAACCTGGGGTCCACGTCCACATTTCCCCCCCTTTCCGATTTATTCTCAGCAGTGCACATCATTAATCCTAAAGCGGCACTTACTAAAATTAGCATTACTCCGCAATGACAAGCAGCAGTTTTTACGCCTTAGCTGAAAGGTTGAGGAGCTGTTGAAAAAATGGTTGGCCAGAAATCTGTTTCTTGTAAGAAAAATGGTTCGTGCCTTTCTCATTCCGTTTTTGCAGCATTTGTGGGAATTGATAGAACGGGTGTCTCGGCAGAAGACTGTATCCTAGCGCACTTGGCATGGATTACTCTTTTGGTCTGGTTGAGCCTTAGCTGGAGTTGAATGTGGCAGCAATAAAATTTGCCATGTCCTGTCCACTGTAGCCTCGCGACTCACCTGTGGGTTCCGACCAATGTTTTAGAGGGTTACTATAAGAAGCTAACTACAAAAACATAGCTAGAAGCAAGTTAGTAAAGGTAAAGGGACGGCTGACCATTAGGTCCAGTCGTTGATGATTCTGGGGTTGTGGCATTCATCTTGCTTTATTGGCCGAGGGAGCCGGCGTGCAGCTTCCGGGTCATGTGGCCAGCATGACTAAGCCGCTTCTGGCGAACCAGAGCAGCGCACGGAAACGCCGTTTACCTTCCCGCTGGAGTGCTACCTATTTATCTACTTGTACTTTGACGTGCTTTCGAATTGCTAGGATGGCAGGAGCAGGGACTGAGCAATGGGAGCTCACCCCGTTGTGGGGATTCGAACCGCCGACCTTCTGATCGGCAAGTCCTAGGCTCTGTGGTTTAACCCACAGCGCCACCCGCGTCCCTCCAGAAGCAAGTTAGAAGCCCCCAAATAAGGAGAAAGTGGGACTTTCAGAGTGGAATATGCTCGGGTTGGATCTTTAAATAAAGAATTGATGAGTGCAGGAGTTTCTGGCAAGTGTCTCTAGGTTAAAGGAATAAAATGAAGAAGAGGAAGGGAGACCAGTGGGCGGATAACCTTATTTACCTGTCTTTTTTTCTGGGAAAGGAAGCTCAGGCAGTGGAAGAGGCTATTGGCAGGGCAAGGTGGCATTTAACCAAAAAGGATGCTCCGAAAAATTGGAGGGCAAACACCAGGTGTATTCCAAAGCATGTCATTGACACGATTTAGTGGTGGATCATTTACGCAGCATAAAATGAAAGCGGGAGAAAGGGTGAAAACCCATTCATGGTTCTAAAGGCAGGAATGAAACATCCCACCCACTGGAAGGGACAGAATAATAGAACTGTAGAGCTGGAAGGGACTCCCTGCAATTGCAGGAATCCTGTCCCTGGGTGGGCTCGAACCACCAAGCTTCTGGTTAAGGGCCAGATGCGCTGACCCATTGTGCTGCAGGGGCCACAGATAATTAAAAGCCAGAGGCCCGGTGGAAAAGAAATGCTGTTTTGCCTGGTGCCTAAAGAAAAGTAACGATGGTGGCGCCAGTTAAGCCTCCCTGGGGAAAACGTTTGACAAGCAGGGAGCTACCACTGAAAAGGCCCCATTCTCATGTCGCCGCCCTCCAGATCCCCCCATGGAAGGGGCACCTGGAGGGTAAGAGGGAATTCAACGCAAAAACTAAACCAAGAATGGATCACTGTATTTTTCGCTCTATAAGACGCACCAGACCATAAGACGCACCTAGTTTTTGGAGGAGGAAAACAAGAAAAAAATATTCTGAATCCCAGAAGCCAGAACAGCAAGAGGGATTGCTGCGCAGTGAAAGCAGCAATCCCTCTTGCTGTTCTGGCTTCTGGGATAGCTGCGCAGGCTGCATTCGCTCCATAAGATGCACACACATTTCCCCTTTTTAGGAGGGAAAAAGTGAGTCTTATAGAGCAAAAAATACGGTATATTCAAGGAGTACCTGAAAAACTACTTGTGACATCACAAACCACCTGGCAGATCTTGAATGACTCTTGCATTGAACAGACAATATATCTAAATTTAATGAGTTTTTTCCCCGTTATCAAAAAGATTTAAGAAAATGATATATTAATAGGATACTGTGTAAAATATAACAAGTGTAATTTAGGGGGCTTTTTTTTGGAACAAATCGAAGTCTATTTTAGGTCTTTTTTTTAAAAAAAATGTATTTTTAATTTTTCTGCCGTATGGGATACAAATTGTAATATAATATATTGCTGTATAATTTTGTGAAATATGTTTAATAAAGAATTCAAATAATAATAATAATAATAATAATAATAATAATAATAATGGAAGGGGCACCTGGAGAAGGGCCTCAGATGATTATTGCTGGGCCCGGGTCGGTTCCTATAGGGAGCGGAAGTCCTTGAGGTATCCGGTGCAAAGCTGTGCATTGTCGCAACAGCTGATCACAAAACACGGCTTGTGTTTACTTCTTGGCAGTTTTCATTTCCTGGTGATCTTCACTTGTCTCTCTTTCCCCATTCTATGAACCCAGCAAGATGTCCAGAGGTTTACTGACCATGCCAAACTGTATCTCTACCTCCAACTCCCTTCTGGCCCAAGTTCAGGAGAGAAAAAGTGAGTGATCGCGGCCTTGTTTCCCAAATCTTGTTCATTTCCTGCTTTGTATATACTGGAGGGATGGAAACGCTGTGGTGGAAAGGCAAGGAAATCAGAAAGCTGCTTTCTTTAAAATAAAATTTAAAAAAATCATCTAGGAGTCGGCAACTAGCAGCCTCCGAGCGAAACCAACCCCATGGGAGATATAATTCTGGGCCTGCCCTCATTGCCCACCTAAACGAGTGTAGGAATGAAACTTGGAAGCAAACTATTGTAGGCAGAGCTGGACCTACACAGCACCTTAGGGCCTCACTCTGTTGGCAGCCTGCACCCTACAACTTAACCCATGAGTAGGCAAACTAAGGCCCGGGGGCCGGATCCGGCCCAATTGCCTTCTAAATTTGGCCCGTGGACAGTCCGGGAATCAGCCTATTTTTACATGAGTAGAATGTGTGCTTTTATTTAAAATGCATCTCCGGGTTATTGTTGTTGTTTTTTTTAAATCTTTATTAATTTAAATTACACACTGATACAAAGAATATACAATCTCATACTACAAAATGAAAATTAAAGAACAATTAAGAAAATACAGAAAGAAGGAAAAGCAAATTTATATACAAAAAAACTTTAATCTTCCTAATTAATACTTAATGAAACACTTAAATAAAAAAGACTGGGTTATTTGTGGGGCATAGGGATTTATTCATTTTTCCCCCCTTCAAAATATAGTCCGGCCCCCACAAGGTCTGAGGGACAGTGGATTGGCCCCCTGCTGAAGAGGTTTGCTGACCCCTGACTTATCCGAACCAGTGAGACGTCCAGCTAGGCCTAAAATTCAGCAAAGTGCTGCCATGGAATTTAAAAACCAAAGGGCAGGTTTCTAGTCCTTATGGATCCGGAGGATGCAGGAATCTGTGAGGTGTAGGCCTGAGAATCCATCCTTGGAACCGCCGTTGAAATTCAAGTTGGTGGTTCCCGAGGCAGGCTTTGAATGCGAGAGGGGCAGGGTTCGAAAGATGTCAGGTGTTCCCCAAGGGACGCTGTGTGCTGGGAAAAGGAAGAAGGTGCTGAATTTAGACACATTTTGCCAAAACCAGGGGAAGGGGGGATTACAGTGGAACCTCGGTTTTCGAGCATCTCAGAAGCCAAACGTTTCAGTTTTTGAACACAAAAATCCGAAGTAAATGCTTCTGTTTTCGAATGCGTGCTTTTTCCATTTTCTCCGTTGAAATTGCCTGCCACCCTTTGCGCCTCGGTTGTCGAACATTTCGGAAGTCGAATAGTCTTCTGGAGTGGATTACTGTTGACAACCGAGATACCACTGTATTGGGTTTTTGTTTTCATAATGTGGTTTGTGTTTTTATATTGTGCCTTTATGCTGTAACCACCCCAAGATTTATTTATACCCCGCCCATCTGGCTGAGTTTCCCCAGCCACTCTGGGCGGCTCCCAATCACATGTTAAAAACAATACAGCATTAAATATTAAAAACTTCCCTGAACAGGGCTGCCTTCAGATGTCTTTTAAAGATAGGATAGCTGCTTATTTCCTTGACATCTGATGGGAGGGCGTTCCACAGGGTGGGAGCCACTACCAAGAAGGCCCTCTGCCTGGTTCCCTGTAACCTCACTTCTCGCAAGGAAGGAACCACCAGAAGGCCCTCGGAGCTGGACCTCAGAGTCCGGTCAGAACAATGGAGGTGGAGACGCTCCTTCAGGTATACTGGACCGAGGCCATTTAGGGCTTTCAAGGTCGGCACCAACACTTTGAATTGTGCTCGGAAACGTACTGGGAGCCAATGCAGATCTCTCAGGACCGGTGTTATGTGGTCTCGGCGGCCGCTCCCAGTCACCAGTCTAGCTGCCGCATTCTGGATTAATTGCAGTTTCCGGGTCACCTTCAAAGGTAGCCCCACATAGAGCGCATTGCAGTAGTCCAAGCGGGAGATAACTAGAGCATGCTCCACTCTGGCGAGGCAGTCTGCGGGCAGAGAGGGTCTCATCCTGCGTACCAGATGGAGCTGGTAGACAGCTGCCCTGGACACAGAATTAACCTGTGCCTATTATTATTATTATTATTATTATTATTATTAATTTTCCTTTCTTGGGGCCGCCAGCCTGGACCTGACTTCTCTGAGCTCAGCTGAGCACATGCATGCTTGCACGTGGATCCGGAATCACCTGGAGGAATACCCAGACACCTGCTTGCCAAAACAAGACGTTTTTGATGCTTACAAGTGAGTTCTGGATCTGAAGGACGGGAACCAGAGGCGTCTCTGCGGGGTGGGGAGGTTGCCTCTTCTTCCTCCTTGGCGATCCCTCGTAGCCGAGTAAGATTGTCTTCCATAAACACGGTTTTAACAGTGAGTCCGTAATTGTGGAGGCCAATTCTGGATCCACACGTCCTTCCACAGTGGGGACATTGGTTTTGTGGTGGGAGTTGATCACGATGTGGATTTGCCCAGCGTGTCTTCCTCTTAGCATGTTTCTCCCTTGCGTCCTGAGTTCGAGTGTCTTCAAAGCCCATGACACCTTTGGTAAAGGCTGTTATCCAACTGGAGCGCTCGCAGGCCAGTGTTTCCCAGTTGTCAGTGTTTATACTACGTTTTTTTAGATTTGCCTTGAGACAGTCTTTAAACCTCTTTTGTTGACCATCAGCATTACGCTTTCCATTTTTAAGTTCGGAATAGAGTAGTTGCTTTGGAAGACGATCATCAGGCATCTGCACAACATGACCAGTCCAACGAAGTTGATGTTGAAGAATCATTGCTTCAACACTGGTGATCTTTGCTTCTTCCAGTACACTGGCATTAGTTTGCCTGTCTTCCCAAGCGATGTGTAAAATTTTTCGGAGACAACATGTAAACCATAAGCGAGGGAGCTGTGGTGTAGTGGTTAGAGTGTCAGATGTGGAGCTGGGTTCAAATCCCTGTTCGGCCACACAAAGCTCCCCGCGGGTGACTTCTCAGCCTAATCTGCCTCTCAGGGTTGTTGTGGGGATCGAACGAGGAGGGGAGGGAACCGTAAATGCCGCCTTCAGGGGAGGGGAAGAAGATGGGATCTAAATGCAACTGATAAATAAACCGCCTTTCCTTTGTCCTTCCCCTGGCAGGCGTTACTGCGATAACCTTTGCAGCCGCTCTCTGAGCGCGGCCAACTTCGGCAAGATCATCCGGGAAATCTTCCCGAACATCAAAGCGAGGAGGCTGGGGGGTCGCGGGCAGTCAAAATATCCTTTTGTGTGTGTAAAAAGTCGCCAGGCGGTGTGGGCGGCAGTGAGGTCAGTGAAAGGCTGCGGCGGTCTGTCTCACGCTCCCCAAACTCATGCAAGCGCAACCTTTCTGTGCTCAGGAGACATCCCAGCCGTATGTCCCACCTTCACAAAACTCTTACAGCGAACGTGATCCGTGTGATTTGGCGCTTCTGCACATGCACAAAGCACGATTTGGCGCTCATGCGCAAGCGCCAAAACCCGGAAGTAACCCGTTCCGGTACTTGCAGGTTCGGCGTGGTGCGCAACCCGAAATCGCACAACCCGAAGCATCTGTAACTCGAGGTATGACTGTACCTCCAAACGAGAAACAGGCGCAGTGCAGATTCTTCCCACGAAGGGGTACCCCACAACACCTTTGAGCCTCCCCAGCTATGAAATAAATGGATGTGGCAATGGAAATGGAGCCTTTCGAGTTTCCTCCTTAACTCTGCCCCCACGTATTGCTACAGCGGGATACGGAGGAAGACTGTGGTGAACATGCCCCCACTCCCCAGCCTGGATCTGAAAGAGACGGAGTCGGTAAGGCCCTGGTTGTTGGCTCATTATTCTCTTGCGTGTGTCTCCGTGTTTTGAAAAGCGCTAAGAAAGTGAGCCAAAAAGACTCGCCTAGTCCAAGGCCCTGTTCCTTTTTTTAAGAAAATCTTTATTAATTTTCACATAGACAAATATACATAACATATAATACAAAAAATGATACAAATGAATAAAAACAATAAAGTAAAAAAGGTTAGAAAAACAAACATAAACAAATACAATATATTACACTTGCGTAACAAATTAAAATATGTAGCTTCCAATAATTCTCATTATATTACTTACGTTATCTGTATTCCTTGCACAGGTTCATATTATTTTATTTTGTATACAGATATACAAGGTACAGGAAATCAGGCAGAAGAGGGCCTTCTCGGTAGTGGCACCCGCCCTGTGGAAAGCCCTCCCATCAGATGTCAAACAGATTTCTGACTTTTAGAAGACATCTGAAGGCAACCCAGTTTAGGGAAGTTTTCAATGTTGGATGTTCTACTGTATTTTTATATCGGTTGGAAGCAAAATATAGTCAACTTTTCTTGCTGATAATCAAAGCTAGGGTTGCTATATTTCAAAAAGTAAAAACCACTGCAGTTTTTCGGTTAACTTGTCAAAGATCCAGGACAAACTGCCGCCTTCTGGAAATTCCCCCTGGACGGGACATCACTTCCACCTTTGAAATACCGGTAATGTCTGGGAAGTCCCAGACGTATGGCAGCCCTAATCACAGCTGTTATTTTTTCTTGCTGGTTCTTGTTTCGTCTTTTTGGGGGGCAAACTGTTTTGAGGTCTTTCCAGTGGTGCGCGAGTCTTCTGAAACACACCAGTACAGTGGACGCTCAGGTTGCAAACGTGATCAGTGCGGGAAGCACGTTCACAACGTGCAGCGCCGCATGTGCGCATGCACAGGTCGCGATTCAGCACTTCTGCGCATGCGCAAGCGTGATATAGCGCTTATGCGCAAGCGCCAAAACCCGGAAGTAACCAGTTCCGGTACTTATGGGTTTGACACGGTGCGCAACCCGGAATCACGCAACCTGAAGCGTCTGTAACCCGAGGTGTGACCATAAATAAAGCCTTCTGAGCTCAAGACGGAGGCTGCGTTGTGCGATAGCGGAACGGCAGAAGCGTGGCATCTCTGGGCCCAAAGTGGTGCTTCAGATCCGCTTTTGACGGTATGTGGGAAAGCGGTGCCTGGCACGCCTCACTCTTCCTGTTCTTCCTTCCTCCCCTGCAGCCGGAGCGGCCAGAGGTGTTCCAGTCCTACAGCGACGAGGTGATGGAAGCGGCCTGCGCCTTGACCTGTGACTGGGCCGAGAAGATCCTCAAGCGCTCGTTCAACAACATCGTGGAGGTGGCCCAGTTCCTCATCCAGCAGCACATCATCAGCTCCCGCTCGCCCCACGTCGACCTCATCATGGCCATGGTGGTCTCAGGTGGGAGACCCTCCTCACGCCCGCCTCCGCTCCTTGCGCCTCCATCGCGCTGCCCGACGGGTTCTTCATAGAGTCCACCACCTCTCCTGGGACTCTGTCCCACTGTCAAACAGCTCTTACTGTCAGAAAGTTCTTCCTGAAGTTTAGTCGGAAGCTCCTTCCTTGCCACTTGAAGCCACTGGTTCGAGTCCTGCCCTCAGGAGCAGGAGAAAACAAGCTCACTCCCTCTTCAGTCCTTGAAATACCGTAGACTGGGCTTATAAAATGGCCCCCAACTTTTGCTGTTCCATTTTAGAGTTAGAGAGTTTGAGCACCGCCGGGGCAGAGTGCGCACCCCTCCTCTGCCGTCACAGCAGCAGCAGCCCGAGGCGTTTGGGGGGCGGGCGGGCGAGCGCCGCGCTCAGAAGGACTTTCCGCGTCCCCTTCTGTGGGGAGGGAGGAGGAGCGATGCCAGCAGGGGCGCCTCTGCTCACTGACTCCCTCTCCTCCTTCCCAACGCGTATACCCGGCGTATAAGACGACCCCCCGACTTTTGGGGTGATTTTCCAGGGGTAAAAAGTTGTCTTGTACGCCGGAACATACGGCATTTGAAGATGGCTTTCTTGTTGATATAATTTAATTTGTAAATTGCCGCAGGCTTTTAAGCGGCCTGCGAGTGTGGATGAGAGTGATGCCCACGTTGGAATACAAAATATAAACCTCTTGACTTACGAGGTAAAACAGGTGGGCAACTTCTGGATCGTGGGCCACTCTTGGGGGTCCAATTTGGCCCCCGAGAAAGCCTCTGTCAGTCTGTAGATGACACTGAGCTAGATCGGTGACGCAGTCGAGAGCAGCTCCTGAGTTAAACCGGTCAAAACCATGCGGAGTAGAATCTTGCTTTATGTTTACAGCCAGCTCAGGGGTAGAATGTTTGCTTTGCATACAGAAGGTCCCTGGTTCAATCCTCTATTGGCGTCTTCAGGTAGGGCTGGGGGTGGCCCCTGCCTGAAACCCTGGAGAACCCCTGCTGTCAGCCAGTTTAGATAATACTAAGCTCAATAGGTAGGACGCGGGTGGCGCTGTGGGTTAAACCACTGAGCCTGGGACTTGCCAATCAGAAGGTCGGCGGTTCGAATCCCCACGACGGGGTGAGCTCCCGTTGCTCGGTCCCTGCTCCTGCCCACCTAGCAGTTTGAAAGCACGTCAAAGTGCAAGTAGATAAATAGGTACCGCTCTGGCATTTCCATGCGCTGCTCTGGTTCACCAGAAGCGGCTTAGTCATGCTGGCCACATGACCCGGAAGCTGTACGCCAGCTCCCTTGGCCAGTAAAGCGAGATGAGCGCCGCAACCCCAGAGTCAGTCACGACTGGACCTAATGGTCAGGGGTCCCTTTACCTTTACCTTTAAGCTCGATAGACCAATTGGTTGGTTCCGCATAAGACAGCTGTGTTCCTATCCCCCAGTGATTTCCCCACTTTTTTTACTTTTTTTGTAACGGAGCTTTTTTCAGAGAAAGGTCTCTTAATCTAAATCTTTTCTGGTTGCAGAAATTACCAAGAACCACCGTGACAAACGGCCGCCCCAAACCATGAAGAAAAATGAGCCTGAAGGCCTGGAGAGTTCAGACAATAAACAGACCCAGGTAGTAGTATTAGCAGTAACAACAACAACAACAGTTTATTACTTATATCCCACCCATCTGACAGCTTTGCCCCAGCTACTCTGGGCAGCTTCCTGCATAAAAGCTTCCCAGTACAGGGCTGCCTTTAGATGTCTCTGGAAAGTCTGTGGTGGTTTATTCCCTTGACATCTGGTGAGAGGTTGTTCCACAGGGCGGGTGCCACCACCGAGAAGGCCCTCTGCCTGGTTCCCTATAACTTGGCTTCTTACAGCGAGGGAACCACCAGAAGGCCCTCAGAGCTGGACCACAGTGTCCGGGCAGAACGATGGAGGTGGAGATGCTCCTTCAGGTATAGTGGACCAAGGCCGTTTAGGGCTTTCAAGGTCAGCACCAACACTTTGAATTGTGCTCGGAAACATACTGGGAGCCAATGCAGATCTCTCAGGACCGGTGTTATGTGGTCCTGGCGGCCACTCCCAGTCCCCAGTCTAGCTGCCGCATTCTGGATTAGTTGTAGTTTCCGGGTCACCTTCAAAGGTAGTCCCACATAGAGTGCATGGCAGTAGTTCAAGCGGGAGATAACTAGAGCATGCTCCACTCTGGCGAGGCAGTCTGCGGGCAGGGAGGGTCTAATCCTGCATACCAGATGGAGCTGGTAGACAGCTGCCCTGGACGCAGAATTGAGCTTCTATAAGCACCTCAGAAGGGCCTTTTAGTTGGACCAGCCCAGCATCATGTTCCCACCGTGCCCAAAACGGCCTCTAAGGTGTTACCTGGTGCGATCTGCCTCTGTTCCGGGAAATGCACCACACCACACTGGAAGAAGTCTAAAGACCCAGGTGTGGTGGCAGGTGGGGCACAGAGATTCAAAAGTCGAAATTCAGCTTTGTGAGGGGGAACCACCCCCCCCCCAATTTGGGCAGGATTCTCGATTTATGCAGCCCCATCTGTAGTTGACCCATTTTCACTCCGGCCTTGTGGCTCATCCCTGGGTTTGGGCCTGCGGCTCGGCCCAACGCTTCTCTCGTCCTTTCCTCTCCTCAGGCCAAAGCAGAAAATGCCGCCAAGCCCTCGGCCGCAGCTCCGCGGAGCGAGGCCAAGAAGCCGCCGGACGCCCCGGCGAAGCCCGCCAGCAGCCCGCAGATCAACGCCTTGGTGGCTCGGCTGCCGCTGCTGCTGCCCCGCGTCCAGGTCCAGCCCGGGGACCGGCTGGTGGTGTCTCCGGGGGTGGCGGCCATGCACCCGGCCCCTGCCGTCCTGGCGCCCAAGCTGACAGCCTCGGGGGGGACGGTCAAGATGGCTCTCTCCATGGGGCCGGGGCCGTCCACTCTGTTGGCCCCTGCGGTGAACGGGCCGGCCGGCGTGGTCAGCCCTCCGAGCGCCGTGCCGGTGATCAACATGATGCCGGTGATCAACATGGCACCGGTGCCGCCGGTGGCCGAAATCGCGCTGAAGCACAAGAGCGCCCCTGCTGGTGGAGGGGTGAATGGCTGCGAGGCTCAGCGGAGCCCCCAGGACCCGCCGAGAGTCAAGCCCCCCGCCAAACGGCCGGCGGAAGCACCTGGGGAGGCGACGGCAAAGAGGAAGCGGGGTCGGCCGCGCAAGAAGGCGGACCCCCCTTCGCCCGAGAAGAGAACCGCCAAGGAGGGAGCGCCCGGCGCTGAGGAGGACTCGGATATCATCGTCGTGACTGTGGGTTACGGCGACCAGGCCGCCCGTCCGTCCTCCCGCTCCGGGTCTCGGGACGAGAGCGCGGAGGTGGTCCACGTCGGGAAGCCCAAGAGCCCATTCCCCCAGGAGACGGGCGAAGAGGGCCCTTCCCGGGCTGGCAGCCTCATTGTCAGCCCTGCCCCCAAAGCTGCTGTGCTGCCCACCCAGGTGAGCGTCATCAGGGGCCGGAGGTCCGCCATGCCCGTTGTTGTGAAAGAGACAGGAAGTGACTGGAAGGAGACAGGAAGTGGCTCCAAAGAGACAGAAAGTGACTGGAAGGAGACAGGAAGCAGCTCCAAAGAGACAGGAAGTGGCTCGAGGGAGCCCCCGCAGTTGGCTGAAGGCGCAGCAGCGCCAGGGATTAGTACCAGAATCACCATCGCGAGGGGCTGGGAGGACCCGGAGAGCGAGAGCTCCTCAGAAGGTGAACTCCAACCCACCGATCTTTCCATGCGCAAAGTTGCACCGCCGCCCGCCAAGGGTTGCTTGGAGGCCTGCGGCTTGCGGCCCTCGTCTGTAAACTTGCACAGGGTCAGTGCGGACCAGGGGAAGGCAGCAGAGACGGCGAGTCCGCCAGGGACATCGGCGCAGGCCCCCAGCCGATAACATCACCCCACTCCTGCTCTGGTGTGCGTCTCCCAATGCCAAGCTCTCCCGCGCAAAGGCACCTTGGTTCTGCTTGCTTTTACTAATTTAATGCACGCGTGTAGGGGGGAAAATACACGGCAATGTGAGCTTGCAAAAGCGACTTTCTGTCATGCCTCTTCCTTGGCCGCCTTGCAAGGCTATGTGGCTGAGAAGTTGCCTGACCTGGGCTCTGGCGCCACCTACTGTTCAGCTCCCTGCTTCCTGGCCCACCAGCTGCCACCACACACCCAAACCTTTTTCTCAAAAGCCCAAGCGGCCTAATGCTCTCTGATAAGGGGAGTGAAAATGTCGGGAATGGAAAGGGTCTGCGGAGGTCATTTAGGCAGGCCACATATGGGAATGGGGGCGTATTTACGGGACACCCCCCCCCCGACACCGATCTCTCCCCATCGCTCTCCTTGGGACTTCAAAGGGCTGGGCAGGGAGAGGAGAACCTTCTCCCGTTTGGAATCTCTGCACAAATCTTTCTTGATCCAAAGGGGGCGAAATAGTGCTGCGTTCCGAGTGCGGATCCTGACCCTGAAACCCCCCCCCCCAAAAAAACCCTTCTACTCTGAACTTTAGAGACAATCACCTTGCAGCCAACATCCCACAGAGTTTTGTTGTTCTCCCTCTCCGTTTCCAGCTCAGGGGCTTGGGGACATTGGTGGGGCAAGGGGGGTGTCCCTCCAGATGTTGCTGGACTCCTAGCAGCCAGCAGGCCTAGTGGTCAGGGAGAGCAGGAGTTGTAGCCCGGCCACAGGCCAGTGGCGCCCTCATATCCCCTAGTTTCTCTCCCGGAGAGTTCACTGACCTGGGGGCAGTTTAAAAAAAGTTAATACCCGTATTTGCTCCTTTTTTTGTTACTCGTGTGAGTTGTTACTCGCCTCTTCTAAGTACTCCTTTCCCGCCTCTTGTTTCCATTATAAATACTGAAGAAACCATATGCACATTAATTTTTTAAAATAAAAATAAAAATGGTTGTATATGTTTTGTTAAAAGTTGTTTCATTGCCTCTGCCGCTCCGGACCTTATAAATGGTGGGTTAGTTCTACTCTTGAGTAAGACCCGTTGAAATTATTGGATAGGCCTAACTTAAACTCATTGGGTTTTTTTTGTGGGTCCATGCTGAACAGAACACAATTGTATAAAATCCTGTGCCTCTTGGATACTAGGATTAAACGAGCTGTGGCTTTTTAAACCGGGGAGGAGGTTGCTCTTTTTGTTTGTCACTCTAAGAAGTATTTTTGTGTTTCTATATTGCAAAGCATCCTCTGATTTTCGGATGAAAGGTGGTTTAAAAAAATAAATAATTTTTGGTGAAGAAGACCTCAGCTGCTGCTGACAAGAAGCCTATTTAAAATGCTTTGGAAGCAACACCCCCCCCCCCCAAAAAAAAAGACTCCCGGGAGCTGTAATTTACCCCTCATGGAGCTACGATTCCCAACTCCCTTAAGAAACTACACTTCCCAGAATTCCTGGGGTGAGCGGTGTGTGCTTAGTTCTTTGTTATTTATTTGGTGCAAGATGCCTGGAGTTAGTTTCATAAAAAAGAGGACTAGTAAGTTTACTAAATAATAATTTAAATGATGTCCATGCAGCTTTAACCTGGGGAACCTTCGGCCATCTGGCTGTTGACTCAACTCCCATTGGCCGGCATACAGGCTGGTATTGCCCGCTCGGACTGGCAGCGACTCTCCCCGTTAAACTGCAGGCTGATCTTCTGTAACACGAGAGTCCAACCAGTTTTGGCAATACGGTAGGGGCTGCTGTACGTCTTGATTATCCTGGACATTCCTGGGATTTTTAAGGCGGAATTGACGTCTGGGAGGATTTCTGAAAGGCGGTGCTTTGTCCTGGATTTGAGGCAAGTCGAAAAAATCAACAATTTTGAGGTCTCTCCCCCCAACACAAAAAAAGATTGGGGATTGGAGTCCATCGGCTTTTGGAGGGTCACGGGCTCCTTGCCATGGACTGGCTGCCCCCACATCTGGCTCAGGAATCGGCCTGGGAACTCTAGAGAGCTGCTGGCATTTGGCGTCAGCAATACTGAGCTACATGACGGAGCATAAACCAGCTCAATTTAGGTGCGTCATTTGATCAGTCCTAAAAACGCTTGCCAACAAAGGTCCGTATAGTTAAAGCTATGGTTTTCCCAGTAGTGATGTATGGAAGTGAGAGCTGGACCATAAAGAAGGCTGATCACCGAAGAATGGATGCTTTTGAATTCTGGTGCTGGAGGAGACTCTTGAGAGTCCCATGGACTGCAAGAAGATCAAACCTCTCCATTCTGAAGGAAATCAGCCCTGAGTGCTCACTGGAAGGACAGATCCTGAAGCTGAGGCTCCAAGACTTTGGCCACCTCACGAGAAGAGAAGACTCCCTGGAAAAGACCCTGATGTTGGGAAAGATGGAGGGCCCAAGGAGAAGGGGGTGACAGAGGACGAGATGGTGGGACAGTGTTCTCGAAGGTACCAGCATGAGTTTGACCAAACTGCGGGAGGCAGTGGAAGACAGGAGTGCTGGGCGTGCTCTGGTCCAGGGGGTCACGAAGAGGCGGACACGACTAAACAACAACAACAATAATTTATTTATTTATACCCCAGCCACTCTGGGCAGCTTCCAACAGAATATTAAAATACAATAGTCTATTAAACATTGAAAGCTTCCCTAAAGCCTTCAGCTGTCTTCTAAAAGTCTGGTAGTTGCACTGGCCGCCTCCACATCTGGCTCAGGAATCGGCCTGGGAACCCTAGTGTTGGCGTTCGGCGCCAGCTATACTGAGCTAGATGACGGAGCGTAAACCAGCTAGCTTCCCGGGGATCCTCAATTTAGGTGCGTCATTTGATCAGTCCTAAAAATGCTTTGCTCCCCCCTTCAAACCACTAGGCGGCGCTACCCAACCATCTGAGCATTCTGGCCGGAAATGACAGAGGTAAAGAACTCTCCCTGGGATTACAACACAATGCGTGATGTGCACAGGCACATAGCTTGACAACGGCCAGAGAGACACAACACAGACCAGGTTTCATTTTTTTAAAAAAGTAATTTTTATTACGTTTTTAATTTTTTGTAATCAGAATATCCATACATAAGTCAATAAGCTCATACATCGTTCTAACCGGGCACTGACCTCTCCCCGCCCCTCTTCCTGACTTCCGTACATTTTATTCTTAGCGTTTCTATAACCACTTTTTTACTTTCTCTCTTACTTTTTTTTATTAATTTTTATTAAGTACAAAATAGAAAAAATATACAATGAAATAAAGAAAATACATGTAACCAAGGGAAGATTAGAAAACATTTCTTCGCTCTTATTTTTACATTTCCCCATTAAATGTAAATCAGTTCCTTACACAGTGGTACCTCGGGTTACATACGCTTCAGGTTTCAGACTCCGCTAACCCAGAAATAGTACCTCGGGTTAAGAACTTTGCTTCAGGATGAGAACAGAAATCGTGCTCCGGCAACATGGCGGCAGCAGGAGGCCCCATTAGCTAAAGTGGTGCTTCAGGTTAAGAACAGTTTCAGGTTAAGAACGGACCTCCGGAACAAATTAAGTAGTTAACCCGAGGTACCACTGCATTGTCATTACAAAACATTTCAACCCAAAGCTACAAACATTTTCAGATGTTTACAATATTCTTTCATATATAATATAAATTTGCTCCAGTCCTTTTGAAACAGTTCGTCATGCACAGACCAGGTTTCAAACTGGCGATCAGTTTAGATGTCGTGGGGTGAGGAGAAGCAGGATTAAATCTCTGCTCAGCAATTATTTCCTACTGCGTTTCCTAGAATTGTAGAGTGGGGAAGGATCCCAAGGGTCATTTAGTCCAACCCCTGCAATGCAGGAATCTCTTGCCCAGTGTGGGACTCGAACTCTGCTTCTCATCTCGAACCGATTCTAGATTCTTCATTTGAGGATGACGGCCTGCCTTCGAGGCCTCTGCGTGTTCCCCACTCACGAGGATCCAACGATCCCATAACAACCATTTACACCACCCGCTTTTTACTGGGGTCTAGCCATAAAAGGATCCGATGGCCACATTCATACATTTAAAGCACTTTAAACCATCATGGCTCCCCCCTCAAAGAATTCTGGGAGCTGTAGTTTGTTAAGGGTGGTTCTGAGAGCTGTTAGGAGACTCCCCGTTCGCTCACAGACCTACAATTCCCAGAGTTCCCTGGGAAGAGGGATTGCTTCTTAGACCACTGGATATTTTAGCCCTATGAGGGGAGCAACACCTAGCGCACTTGGCAAACTACAGCTCCCAGAACTCTCCGGGAGGGAAGCCATGACTGTTTAAAGCGGTTTCGTAGTGCTTTAAATGTCGGGTGGGAACGTCACCTTGGAGATGAACCAATAACATAAACGTCTCCCAGCATCCAGTGCGGTCAATGCTCAGGAATAACGGTGGGAACTGTAGTTTCATAACGCCAGCAAGGTAACGTTTCCCTGTCTGCCTGCTTCAAACTCTGGTTTTAGAACTGATTCCAAGAGCCAGCTTGGCTTACAGGTGCAGATCCAATGGCAAGCACATTTAAGGCGCACAACGCCACTGGAGATTTTTAGGCAGACTTCGGGCGGCCAGCTGTCAGGGGTTCTTTAGCTGTGTTCCCGGCATTGCTGGGGGTTGGACTAGATGACCGCCTTCCAGCGCTACAATTCTACATCTCTGTGCCTTCGCCCAAAGATTCCCGGGAACTGTAGTTTCCCGTCGCACAGAGCTGCAACTCCCAGCCCTCTACAGTTCCCAGGATTCTTTGAAGGCAGTAAAGGTAAAGGGAATCCTGACCATTAGGTCCAGTCGTCCCGTCATTACTTATCTCTTTGATATCTGACGGGAGGATGTTCCACAGGGCAGGTGTGAGATCTTGGAGAAGATGTTAAGAGGCCCCTGTTCCCCTCCCAGAGCTACAATTCAGAGTTCCCTGCGGAGAGCAATTCTGATTGTTAAACCACACTGAGAATTGTACCTCTGCAACAGGGCCTCTCAGCACTCTTAACAAAGTACAGCGCCCAAGATTCTTCAGGGGAATGATGACTGCCTAAAGCGGTATCACAGCACTTTGGGTAAAGGTAAAGGGACCCCTGACCGTTAGGTCCAGTCATGGCCGACTCTGGGGTTGCAGCGCTCATCTCGCTTTATTGGCTGAGGGAGCCGGCGTACAACTTCCGGGTCATGTGGCCAGCAGGACTAAGCCGCTTCTGGCAAACCAGAGCAGCGCACGGAAACGCCGTTTACCTTCCCGCCGGAGTGGTACCTATTTATCTACTTGCACTTTGACGTGCTTTCGAACTGCTAGGTTGGCAGGAGCTGGGACCAAACAATGGGAGCTCACCCCGTCGTGGGGATTCGAACCGCCGACCTTCTGATCGGCAAGTCCTAGGCTCTGTGGTTTAACCCACAGCGCCGCCCACATCCCCTTTGAAGGCAGTAATGTGCGTCCAAAGCATGGTGGGGATTTGCCCTTGTGAGTGCGCACAGAGGAATGCATTCCTCCCCAGACTAAACCCTCCAATATGGCCGGATTCGTGTTTGTTTGGCCGCTGGGTCTGTTTTGAACATTCTGTCCCCGCAGAGAGACATTCCAGAGGTCTGACTCAGCTCTGGCCTGGCGCAGCCGGTTCCAAGGTAAACAAGCCACAGGGAAATCGGATTCCAGCTTGGCGTTTCTGTACCTGAATGCACCCGGTTCAGCGATAGGGAAAAGGCATGTTCCAACGTGTGGGAACGGGGGACAGGGTACCGCTTCCCCAATAAAGATTTATATATGTGTCCCTGCATTTTTCTTTCCGTTAAATGCTGAACTGCTATGTTTTTTAAATTTTTACTTTTTTTTACCAACTACCAAAACACAAACAGTGAAACCCCCCCCCCCGGCGGCTGATACATTGGGTATACATAATCAATAATAACATATTCAAATCAACCATATGTACAATTCTATATACCTTAACACTCCTCCCTCCACAAGGTTTATTTAACTTTTAAGATTTTAATTGCCCCAAATTGTTCAAACCTGCCCAGATAATTCAATATCTTCTCAAACCAATCCTCCTCCTCCTCCTCACTGACCTTAAACTCTTTCATTTTATGTATCTTCACAGGTATTCTAAGATTATAATATTTTTCAATTTTTCCCTCCATTGGTTCACCCCTAGCTGTTCTGCATTTTTCCAATTACTCGCTATAACCTGTCTGGCTGC